GTTTGTTGGCATCACATATGTCTTCTTTTGAAAAGTGTCTTTTCATAACCGTCTCCCACTTTTGAATGGGTTTGTTTTTTTCTTGTAAGTCTGCTTTAGTTCTTTGTAGATTCTGGATATTAGCCCTTTGTCAGATGAGTAGATTGCAAAAATTTTTTACATTCTGTTGGTTGCCAGTTTACTCTAATGATTGTTTCTTTTGTTGTGCAGAAAGAAGCTCTTAAGCTTAATTAGATCCCATTTTTCTATTTTGGCTTTTGTTGCCATTGCTTTTGGTGTTTTAGTCATGAAGTCCTTGCCTGTGCCTATGTCGTGAATGGTGTTGCCTAGGTTTTCTTCTAGGGGTTTTATAGTGCTAGTTCTTATATTTAAATCTTTAATCCATCTGGAGTTAATTTTAGTGTAGAGTATAAGGAAGGGGTCCGGTTTCAGCTTTCTGCACATGGCTAGCCAGTTTTCCCAACACCATTTATTAAACAGGGAATCCTTTCCCTATTGCTTCTTTTTGTCCGGTTTGTCAAAGATCAGATGGTTGTAGATGCATGGTGTTGCATCTGCAACCTCTGTTCTGTTCCATTGGTCTATATCTCTGTTTTGGTACCAATACCATGCTGTTTTGATTACAGTAGCCTTGTAGTATAGTTTGAAGTCAGGTAGTGTGATGTCTCCAGCTTTGTTCTTTTTGCTTAGGATTGTCTTGGCTATGTGGGCTCTCTTTTGGTTCCATATAAAGTTTAAAGTGGTTTTCTCCAGTTCTGTGAAGAAGGTCAGTGGTAGCTTGATGGGGATAGCATTGAATCTATAAATTACTTTGGGCAGTATGGCCATTTTCACAATATTGATTCTTCCTAACCATGAGCATGGAATGGTTTTCCATCTGTTTGTGTCCTCTCTTATTTCCTTGAGCAGTGGTTTGTAGTTCTCCTTGAAGAAATCTTTTACATTCTTTGTTAGTTGTATTCCTAGGTATTTTATTCTCTTTGTAGCAATCATAAATGGGAAATCGCTCATGATTTGGCTGTTTGTCTGCTATTGGTGTATAGGAATGCTTGTGATTTCCGCACATTGATTTTGTATCCTGAGACTTTGCCAGAGTTGCTTATCAGCTTAAGGAGGTTTTGGGCTGATGCAATGGGGTCTTCTAAATATACGATCATGTCATCTGCAAATAGGGACAATTTGACTTCTTCTTTTCCTAATTGAATGTACTTTATTTCTTTTTCTTGCCTAATTGCTCTGGCTAGAACTTCCAATACTATGTTGAATAGGAGTGGTGAGAGAGGGCATCCTTGCCTAGTGCCAGTTTTTAAAGGGAATGCTTCTAGCTTTTGGCCATTCAGTATGATGTGGGCTGTGGGTTTGTTGTAAATAGCTTTTATTATTTTGAGATACGTTCCACTGATGCCTAGTTTGTTGAGAGTTTTTAGGATAAAGTGCTGTTGAATTTTGTCTAAGACGTTCTGTGCATCTATTGAGATAATCATGTGGTTTTTGTCCTTGGTTATGTTTATGTGGTTGATTATACTTATAGATTTGTGTATGTTGAACCAGACTTGCATCCCTGGGATGAAGCCTACTTGATTGTGGTGGATAAGCTTTTTGATGTGCTGTTGGATTTGGTTTGTCTGTATTTTATTGAAGATTTTTACATCAATGTTCATCATGGATATTAGCCTATAGTTTTCTTTTTTAGTTGTACCTCTGCCAGTTTTTGGTATCAGGACGATGTTGGTCTTAGAAAGAGTCAGGGAGGATTCCCTCTTTTTGTATTGTTTGGAATAGTTTCAACAGGAATGGTACCAGCTCCTCTTTGTATGTCTGGTAGAATTCGGGTGTCAACCTGTCTGGACTTGGACTTTTTTTGGTTGGTAGGCTATTAAATTGCTGCCTTGATTTCAGACCTTGTTATTGGTCTATTCAGGGTTTCAACTTCTTCTTGGCTTAGTCTTGGGAGTGTGCAAGTGTTCAGGAATTTATCAATTTCTTCCAAGTTTACTGGTTTATGTGCATAGAATTGTTTGTAGTAATCTTGGATGGTAGTTTGTATTTCCGAGGAATCAGTGGCAATCTCCCCTTTATAGTTTTTTGTTGCATCTATTCGATTCTTCTCTCTTTTATTTTTTATTAGTCTAGCTAGTGGTCAGTCTATTTTGTTGGTCTTTTCAAAAAAACAGCTCCTGGATTTATTGATTTTCTGAAGGGCTTTTTGTGTCTCTATCTCCTTCAGTTCTGCTCTGATCTTAGTTATTTCTTCTCTTCTGCTAGCTTTTGAGTTTTTTTTTTTTTTTTTTTTTATCTTGGTTCTCTAGCTCTTTCAATTTTGATGATGGGGTATCAATTTTAGATCTTTCCTTGCTTCTCATGTGTGCATTTATTGCTATAAATTTCCCTCTAGACACATTTCCCTTTAAATGCGTCCCATTGGATCTGGTACGTTGTGTCTTCATTCTTGTTGGTTTCAAAGAACATTTTTATTTCTGCCTTCATTTCATTGTTTATCCATTCTTCAGGAGCAAGTTGTTCAGTTTCCATGTGATTGTGCAGTTTTGAGTGGTTTTCTTAATCCTGAGTTCTAATTTAATTGCCCTGTGGTCTGACAGACTGTTTATTATGATTTCCATTCTTTTGCATTTGCTGAGGAGTGATTTACTTCCAATTACATGGTCAATTTTAGAGTAAGTGCAATGTGGTGCTAAGAAGAAAGTGTATTCTGTGGATTTGGGGTGGAGTGTCCTGTAAATGTCTATTAGGTCTGCTTGGTCCTAATCTGCAATCAAGTCCTGGATATCCAGTCTCATTGATCTGTCCAATATTGTCAGTGGAGTGTTAAAGTCTCCAACTATTATTGTGTGGGAGTCTAAGTCTCTTTGTAGGTCATTAAGAACTTGCTTTATGTATCTGGGTGCTCCTGCATTGGATGCATAAATATTTAGGATAGTTAGCTCTTCTTGTTGCATTGATCCTTTTACCATTATGTAATGCCCTTCTTCGTCTCTTTGGATCTTTGTTGGTTTAAAGTACATTTTATCAGAGACTAGGATTGCTACCCCTGCTTTTTTTTTTTTTTTTTCTTCTTCTCTCTATTTGCTTGGTAAATCTTCCTCCATCCCTTTATTTTGAGTCTATGTGAGTCTTTGCATGTGAGTTGGGTCTCCTGAATACAGCACACCAATGGGTCTTGACTTTTTATCCAGTTTGCCAGTCTGTGTCTTTTGATTGGGGCATTTAGGCCATTTACATTCAACGTTAATATTGTTATGTTTGAATTTGGTCCTGCCATTTTGTTACTGGCCGGTTGTTTTGCCCATTATTTGATGCAGTTTCTTCATTGCATCATTGTTCTTTACCATTTGGTATGTTTTTGCAGTGGCTGGTACTGGTTGTTCCTTTCTCTGTTTAGTACTTCCTTCAGTAGCTCTTGTAAGGCAGGTCTGGTAGCGAAGAACTCTCTCAGCAATTGCTTCTCTATAAAGGATTTTATTTCCCCTTCACTTATGAAGCTTAGTTTGGCCAGTTATGAAGTTCTGGGTTGAAAGTTCTTTTATTTAAAGATGTTGAATATTGGCCCCCACTCCCTTCTGGCTTGTAGGGTTTCTGCTGAGAGATCAGCTGTGAGTCTGATGGTCTTTCCTTTGCAGCTGACTCTACCTTTCTCTCTGGCTGCCCTTAGGATTTTTTCCTTCATTTCAACCCTGGTGAATCTGACAATTATATGTGCCTTGGAGTTGCTCTTCTTGAGGAATATCTTTGTGGTGTTCTCAGTATTTCCTGGATTTGAATGTTGACCTGCCTTGTTAGGTTGGGGAAGTTCTCTTAAATAATATCTTGAAGAGTGTTTTCCAACTTGCATTCGTTCTCCCTGTCACATTCAGGTACACTGATTAAGCGTAGATTAGGTCTTTTCACATAACCCCATAGCTCTTGGAGGCTTTGTTCATTTTTTTTCACTCTTTTTTCTCTAATCTTGCCGTTTCATTTTATTTCATTGATTTGATCTTCTATCTCTGATATCCTTTCTTCTGCCTGATCGATTCAGCTGTTGAAACTTGTGTATGCCTCACAGAGTTCTCCAGCTGTGTTTTTCAGCTCCATCAAGTCATTTATGATCTTCTCTATGCTGGTTATTCTAGTTATCATTTCATCTAACCTTTTTTCAAGGTTCTTAGTTTCTTTGCATTGGGTTAAAATCTGATCTTTTAACTCAGAGAAGTTGGTTATTACCCACCTTCTGAAGCCTGCTTCTGTCAATTCATCAAATTCATTCTCTGTCTTTTTTTGTTCCCTTTATGGTGAGGAGTTGTGATCCCTGGGAGGGGAAGAGGTGTTCTGGTCTTTGAGGGTTTCATCCTTTTTGCGCCGGTTTTTTCTCATCTTGGTGGATTTATCTCCCTTTGATATTTGACGCTGGTGATTTTGGGAGGAGTCTCTGTTGGAGCTGTATCTTTTTTTGGCCTGTAGATGGTGATGCTGGGCTCTCTCGGATTCAGTCAGGTTGCTGGGTGGGTGGTCCTTTCCTGAAGTTTGTTTGCAGGTGAGATTGGCCCCCCCTTTCCACTAGCATCTCTTTGTCCCTGAGCTTGATCTGTCTGGTTGGGGTCAAACTGGTGTATTTGCTACCAAGCTCTCTAGCGAGTTTGAGTTCTGGGAGCCTGCCAGCCTTATGGCCTGTTTCCCTGCTTTCAACTCTGCCTCTTTCTGTGGGACGGTCCATCCCACTTGTGTTAGTCCAAACTTCAGCCCAGGTCAGTGCAACAATTTGCCATGCCTGGCGAGAGCCACAGCTCAGATTTGCATTGACAACCCACGGCGCCCCTCAGTCTGGCAGGGCTCTCGTGGACCATTGGTTACAGGAGGGATGAGGTAAGCACAGGATCCAAATCAGAGCACCAAGGGGGTGGAGTCCCCTGACCCTCTGAGCCAGCTGCACATTCCAGGTAGGGACATACCCCGCCCTGTCTTGGTTTGCCCCCCCCGGGCAGCTCTCGCATAGCTCAATTAATCTTTTATAAATTATGTGTCTTCTTCTTGGCAATTTTTAATAGCTCTCTCAGGTTATTAATATCAAACTCTGTTGACCTGGTTTATAAAAGTTTTCCAAATCTACTGTTCACTTATTAACTGTTAAGAGGACATTTTCCGTGGTAAAAGATTAATTTTTTACATATCCAGATATCTCCCTCTTGCAAGATTTTTTTTTTTTTTTGGCTTATTAAACAAGGTCTTCTTTCAATCAAGAGTGCACATTGGACATTGCATGTAAGTTATTTCTCCTTTTTATGCTTTGTATCATTTATATATCTGGAATTTTTTGGATATATATGATGTCACAAGGTATCCAATTCTATTTTTAAGGTCAATAATGTATTTTCAAGCCTTATTTATTAAGTAACTTATACAGTAACTTATATGCACTATCTTTTGAATCATTTCTTAAATTTTTATATAAATAATAACTAATTCTGAATTTCCTATTCTGTTTAACTGATATTTCTGTGTAACCTTACGCCAATGTGATTGTTATTGTTTAGAATATATTGGCTTTGTAATATGACGTGAGGTCTATTAAAGCAAGTTTCCCTCACTATTCTACCTTTTCATAAATTTTCTGTCTTGCATTAATTTTTATACACACTTAAAGAATATTGTATCCAATTAAAAGCAAGTCAGTTGGAATTTGAGATAGAATATCTTGGAGATATATATATTATTTTAGGAGATTTACATTTTAATAGATTGTCTTCTGATCCAAAATTTTACATTTTATTTGTTCAGACCTTATTATATGCCTTCAATGATATTGCATAGTTTTATTCTATGAAAACTCTATTATTCTTGTCAACTTTATTCCTAAGTATTTTGAAGTTGTTACCTGAGTGAATGTAACATTTTTTTCATTCCACTTCTAGATGCTTTGAATCAAGTTTTGTGCACTTGTTTTGTATACAGTCAATACAGTTTCTAGTTTATTCTTTTGAGTGTTTTTTTTTACTAGGATCTCTTCAATTTTCTAGGTGTATAATAATATCCAATTTTTAACCAGTTGTTGTCTTTTGACACTGTATTTGCAACATTCAAGACAATTTTACTATAGTTAGCCAATTCTATAGGCTCATGCCTGTAATCCCAGCACTTTGGAAGGCCGAGACAGGCAGATCACAAGGTCAGGAGTTCAAAACCAGCCTGGCCAACAGAGTAAAACCCCACCTCTAAAAAAATACCAAAAAAAATTAGCCAGGCATGGTGGTGGGTGCCTATAATCTCAGCTACTTGGGAGGCTGAGGCAGGAGAATCGCATAAACTCGGGAGGCAGAGGTTGCAGTGATCCGGGATTACGCCACTGCACTCCAGCTTGGGCAACAGAGCAAGACTCTGTCTCAGAGAGAGAGAGAGAGAGACAGATTGAAATAATTAAAAAGAATGAAGCAGAAATTCTTGGCCAGGCTCTGTGGCTCATGCCTGAATCCCAACACTTTGGGAGGCTGAGTCAGGCAGATCACAAGGTCAGGAGTTTAACACCAGAATGGCCAACACAGTGAAACCCTGCCTCTACTAAAAATACAAAAAATTACCCATCGTGGTGGTGGGTGCCTGTAATCCCAGCTACTCAGGAGGCTGAGGCAGGAGAATCTCATAAACCTGGGAGGCAGAGGTGCAGTGAGCCAAGATCACGCCATTGCACTCTAACCCTGGGTAAGAGTGTGAGACTCAGACTCAAAAAAAAAAAAAAAAAAAAAAATTCTGGAGCTGACAAATGCAATTGATATATAGAAGAATGCATCATAGTTTTTAATAATAGAATTGAACAAGCAGAATTAATGAGCTTGAAGACAAGCGATTTAAAAATAAACAGAGGAAAAAAAGAAAACAATAGAGCATGCCTACAGAATCTAGAAGAGCCTCAAAAAAGGTAAATCTGAGTTACTGGGCTTAAGGATGAGGTAGAGAAAGAAGTAGAGGTAGAAAGTTTATTCAAAGGGATGGCAGAGAACTTCCCAAACTCAGAGAAATATATCAATATTTAAATACAAGAAGGCTGTAGAACATTAAGCAGATTTAACCCAAATAATACCATCTCAGGACATTTAATAATCAAACTTTCAAAGATCAAAGACAAAGAAAGGATCCTAAAAGCAGCAAGAGAGAGATTTTAAAAAAGAAAACATACAATAGAGCTCTGATACATCTGTCAGCAGGCTTTTTAATAGAAACCTTACAGGCCGGGCAAGAGCAGCATGACATATTTAAAGTGCTGAAGAAAAAAGCTTTTACCCTGGAATAGTATATCTAGTGAAAATATCCTTCAAACCTGAAGGAGAAGTAAAGACTTTCCCAGATAAGCAGAAGCTGAGGGACTTTATCAATAATGTCAGGCCTGTCCTACAAGAAATGCTAAAGAGAGCACTTCAATCAGAAAGAAAAGGACATTAATGAGAAATAAGAAATCATCTGAATGTGCAGAACTCACTGGTAACCAGAAGTACACAGGAAAACAAATATTATAATACTGTAACTGTGATGTGTAAACTACTCTAATCCTAAGTAGATAAACTAAATGATGAACAAATTAAAAGAATAACAACTTTTCAAGACATACACAGTACAATATGATATAAATAGAAAGAACAAAAAATTTAAAAACTGGGGTACAGACATAAAGCATAAAGTTTTTATTAGTTTTCTTTTGCCAGTTTTTTTGTTTATACAAACACAGTTGAGTTGTCATCAACCTAAAATAATCAGAATAGCCCAATCCTAAGCAAAAAATACAAAACTGGAGGAATCACATTACCTGATCTCAAATTTCACTACAGAGCTTAGTAACCAAAACAGCATGGTATTGTCATTAAAACAGATACATAGATCAGTGGAACAGAACAGAAAACCCAGAAACAAATCCACACACCTACAGTGCACTCATTTCCAACAAAGGTAATAAGAATATACACTGGGGAAAAGACAATCTCTTCCATAAATGGTGCTGAGAAAACTGAATATCTATATGCAGAAGAATGAAACTATACCCCTATCTCTTGACGTATGCAAAAATCAAATCATAATGGGTTAAAGGCTTAAAGCTAAGATCTCAAACTATGAAGCTACTATAAGGAAACATTGGGGAAATCTTCAGGACATTGGTCTGGGCAAAAATTTCTTGACTAATACCCTGTAAGCACAGGCAACCAAAGCAAAAATGGACAAATGCAATCATAAGTTAAAATGCTCTGCACAGCAAAGGAAATAATTAACTGCCACTGTGAAGAGATAACCCCCACAGAATGGGAGACAATATTTGCAAACTATCCATCTGACAAGGTATTAATAACCAGAATATATCAGGAGCGCAAACAACTCTATAGGAAAAAAAAATTCCAATTTTTAAAAAATGGGCAAAAGATTTGAATAGACATTTCTTAAAATAAGACATACCAATGCCAAACGGATATATGAAAAGGTGCTCAGCATCACTGATCATCAGAGAAATGAAAATCAAACACAAAACTACAGTGAGATATTGTCTCACCCTAGTTAAAATGGCTTATATCAAAAGACAAGAAACAGAAAAAGCTGCAGAGGATGTGGAGAAAAAGGTAATACACTGTTGGTGAAAATAAATTAGTATAACCATTATGGAGAACAGTTTGGAGGCACATCAAAAAACTAAAAATAGAGCTATCATAAGATTCATCAATCCCAATGCTGGGTATATGCCCAAAAGAAAGGAAATCTGTATACAGAAGAAATATCTGCACTCCCATGTTGTTGCAGTACCGTTCACAGTAGCTAAGATTTGGAGGCAACCTAAGTGTCTATCAACACATGAATTGATAAAGAAAATATACTACATATACACAATGGAGTATTATTCAACCATAAAAAAGAGTGAGATCCTTTCATAGTTGGAACCAGAGATCATTATGTTAAGTGAAGTAAGCCAAGGACATAAAGGCAAACATCACATGTTCTCACTTATTTTTGGAATCAAAAATTCTAAACAAACAATTGAACTCATGGACACAGAGAGTGGAAGGATGGTTACCAAAGGATGCAAAGTGTAGCTGGGGAGATGGGGAAGGAAAGTGGAGATGGTTAATGGGTACAAAACAATAGAATAAATAAATAAGAACTAAATATTTGATAGCACAGCAAGGTGACTATAGTCAATAATAACTTAATTGTACATTTTTAAATAATGAAAAGAGTCTAATTGGATTGTTTGTAACACAAACGATAAATGCTTGAGGGAGTAGATACCCCATTCTCCATGATGTGATTATTACACATTGCATGCCTGTATCAAAGCATCTCATGTACTCCATAAATATATATACCTACTATGTACCCACAAAATTATAAAAAGTGTAATCAAATCAAGTCTTTAAATCCAATATTTGTTTACAGAAAGTGATAGAGAAACCAGCTAACACCACAAAAGAACTGATCAGAAAATCCAGAATGTACAATATTAGAATATCCTCTCCAGACAGCCAACACAGTTGGCCCAGTTTTTCCAGGAAACCAAGTGCGTGTGTGTGTGTGTGTGTGTGTGTGTGTGTGTGTGTGTGTGTGTACATGTGTTTTAAACAGAGAATTATTGGAGAATAAAAGCGACTTTGGACTGCAGCTGTCTTAGCCACACACTGAAATCACCTGGGTGTACAGTGATGGGTCTCCCACCAGGTTACTTAAGGGTGAATGTCTGCTGCTTAAACCTTGAAGGCCAGGTGGTAAACCAAGGCCATGGTGCCTACCTGAGGAGCAGGTGTCCCTGAGAACCCAAACATCCCTGAAAGGATCTGAGAACCTACCAAGAGAAACAGCCCCATCACAGGCACACAGCAGGCAAAGAGCCAGAAAATTAGCTTAAAAGCAGCTTAGAGACAGGAGGAGGCACAGATCTCTGGAGCTGTTCTGCCGCTGTCCAGGAGTGCCCCATGTAAAGTCCTACTAAACTCATCTACTCACCAGGCTGGACTTGTTGCAGTCATTCTTTGGCCTCTCAGCTCCCTTCCAGTTTGGGAGAAGGCTTTTCTACACAATTTCAAGTTTTCCTCATCACAAGTGGAGTCGTGAACAGGATCCTAGATACCAAATGATGCACAAGAGAAGGGCATCTGCAGGGGAATACTGGGGTAACCAGAAACGTGTGTGGGGTGGAGTTGCCCTACTGCTTGAGCTTTGTGAACCATCACATGAGTACCAGGATGCTCAGAAAACATAGGCAAGGCCTGAGCACATATTGCAAGTAGCTAATATAGTCAAAGTACGATAAGGAGACCAAACGTGCTGTTTCTGCAAAAAGGCTGGCTACTGAGGACTCATTAGAGCAGGAAAGGGAAAAAGCATAGGAATTCCTGCAGAAGTTCAAAGGCTTGCCAGCTCTGCTAGAAATCCAGCTTCTTATATATTATGGCTTATTCCTGTGCACATTTTAAAACTGATGGGCAAATTGAAAAGAAAACTTTAGAGCTTAAATTGTTAACCTGCAACTATAGAGTTAATGAGAGTCTTCTACAAATATTTCTCTTATTTCCTTTCCTGCCTGTTTTGTATCTGCTGTTATTAAGCTACTGGCGTTGGGATAAAACTTGCTATTTGTATTACTGCCAATTCAAGGTTACTTAGGGATTTGTCTGATATGATAAGCCTTCAGTTAGACTGATCAAGCAAAACATAGAGAAAATACAAATTTTTAAAATCAAAAAAGAGGAGACATTGCAATTCCTTTTAAACATAGATTAAATGACAAATTCCTAGAAAAACATAAAATACTAACACTGGAAAAATAGATAATCTGAATAGTCTTTTAACAAGTAAAGTGATTTAAATACTAATATGTACTTTATAAATTCATAGATCAATTTTATAGATCAACTGGTAGTTCAGAAATAAATCAACATATCAATTGATTTTGACAAGGGTGCCAAGACCATTCAATGGGGAAAAACCGTCTTTTCAGCAAATGATTCTGGGACAACCAGATAACCACAGGCAAAAAAAGGAAGTTGGATCACGACCTCACACTATATGTAAAAAATTAACTCAAATGATTATAGACTTAAATATGAAATCTAGAGCTATAAAATTCGTAGAAGAAAACATAGACATAAATCTTGATGATCTAGGATTCAGCAATTTTAGTTATGCTACCAGAAGCAAAAGTGGCAAAAAAAAAGAAACTGGATTTTATCAAAATTGTAAATCTTTATGCTTCTAAAGACACCCACAAAATGTGAAATGACCGTTCATATAATGAGAGAAAATATTTCCATATCTTATATACATATTAAAAGACTTGTACCCAGAGTATATACAAAACAAATATAACTTGTTAATAAAAAGATAAATACCCCAATGAAAATATCAGAAAAGGATATAAACAGACATTTTATCCTAAAAAGATATAAAATGGTGATAAGTATGTGAGAAGATGCTCTATATAATCACTCAGGGAAATATAAATCAAAACTATGAGATACACTCTCAAAGATGGCTATAATTAAAAAGAGAAAATAAATCAGAGAAGATATGGAGAAATTGTAACTCTTATAAAATGCTGTTAGTAGTGTCAATAATGCCCCCATTTTGAAAAAAACATTTGGCATTTCCTCAAAAGGTTAAATATTGGTTTGTCATATGACTTAGCAATTTCACTCCTAGATATATACACAAGGTGAATAAAATATATGTCCACACAGTAGCATGTACGTGAATGTTTATAGCAGCATTATGCCTCATAATAAAAAGAGTGGAAAACACAAATGTTAATCAACTGGATAAACAACATGTGGTATATTCATACAATGGAACATTACTTAGCCATAAAGAGTAATGAAATACTGATCCATTCTACAACATAATGGAACCTTGAAAACATTATGCTTAGTAAAAAAGGCAGTCACAAAAGGCCGCATATTGTATAAATTCATTAATGTCAAATATCAGAATAGGCAAATCCATAGAGACAGAAAGTGGATGAGTAGTTGGCAGAAGGTGGAGGGTTGAAGAAATGGGGAATTATTTCTCATGAGTATGGGATGCCTTTGAAGATAATGAAAATGTTTTAAAATTGTGGAGTGGTCACAACTCTATACTTAACAAGGTCACTAACTTGTATACTTTAAAGAGGTGGTTTTATGGTATGTAAATTATCTCTCATTAAAGTTGTTATAAAAATAGTCATTGTATTTTCTCTTCTCTACAGATTTCCCTTAATAAAGGGGAAAAAAAACCTCTGCTTCACAAGAAAAGTAAAAGAAGATGAGTTTTACCAGACTGCTTTCTGTACACCTGAATGATGGACACTTCATGCCTATGCTGGGGTTTGGCACCTCTGCCCCTAGGAAGGTAACCATAATGGTATTGGCAATGGAGTAGTAGGTGGCTCCTGATCAGAATCAGTCACTATGTGAAATTCAGGTGGCCCTTGCTTTTCTCATTTGTAACACACTTATCACCAAGTTAGGTTACTTTGTACATTAAGTCAGGGCTTTTCATGTTTTAGTAGATATGTAAACACTCGAGGATCTTGTTAAAAATATAGATTTAGAGGCCTTATCCCTGAAGGTTCTGATTGAGTAGATCTTGAATGAGGCTCTAAAATTTACATTTATAATAAGCTTCCAACTGATTCAGATGCTGCTTGTCCAAAACTATGCTTGGAGTGGCACTCCATCAAGAGAGATGGAAGTATGCATGCAATTGTTCGGAATACAGGGGTGAGTAAGTCTGTTGCTGTTACTCTGGCTTCTGTCCAGTTGTAGCCATTTCATAGTAGAAGAAACAATAATCCTATTGACATGATTACCATGTGCCAGAAACTTCACAGCAAACTTGTTTGTGAGAAAATTGTGTTGTAATTTTTAATACCCAAGTCCCCCTGTTCACCACTAATAAGAATATTGAGAGAAAGTTCTAGGGCATAGGAACTTGGGAAAAGAGAGACAGGCTTAGAGGCAGCTGTGTGGTCTAGGTGGCCACAGTCTCTGAGAGGCCAAGTTGGTAAGATGATGCCATGAAGACTCACATGGTACTTGAAAAATTCCCTTCTCCTTGGCTCTGTGCATGTTTGTGGATCAAGCACTGCAAACTTGCAAGGGCACACCTCAGTGGCTGTTGGTGAAAAACATTATAATTTTTTTTTCCCCATTTATTTATTTTATTGCATTTTACATTTTGGGGTACATGTGAAGAACATGCAAAATTGTTGCATAGGAACACACGTGGCAGTGTGATTTGCTGTCTTCCTCCCCATCACCTACATCTGGCATTTCTCCCCTTGCTCTCTCCCCAGCTTCCCACCCCCCACCCTCCCTCCCCTATTTCCCCCCAACTGACCCCAGTATGTAGTGCTCCCCTCCCTGTGTCCATGTGTTCTCATTGTTCAACACCCGCCTATGAGTGAGAACATGCGGTGTTTGATCTTCTGCTCTTCTGTCAGTTGGCTGAGAATGATGGTTTCCAGGTTCATCCATGTCCCTACAAAGGACCCAAACTCATCGTTTCTGATGGCTGCATAATATTCCATGGTGTATATGTGCCACATTTTCCCTATCCAGTCTATCGTCGATGGGCATTTGGGTTGGTTCCAGGTCTTTGCTATTGTAAACAGTGCTGCAATGAACATTCGTGTACACGTGTCCTTATAGTAGAACAATTTGTAATCCTTTGGATATATACCCAGTAATGGGATTGCTGGGTCAAATGGAATTTCTATTTCTAGGTCCTTGAGGAATCGCCACACTGTCTTCCACAATGGTTGCACTAATTTACACTCCCACCAACAGTGCAAAAGTGTTCCTATTTCTCCACATCCTCTCCAGCATCTGTTGTCTCCAGATTTTTTAATGATCGCCATTCTAACCGGCGTGAGATGGTATCTCAGTGTAGTTTTGATTTGCATTTCTCTGATGACCAGTGATGATGAGCATTTTTTCATATGTTTGTTGGCCTCACGTATGTCTTCTTTTGAGAAGTGTCTGTTCATATCCTTTGCCCGCTTTTGAATGGGCTTGTTAGTTTTTTTCTTGTAAATCTGCTTTAGTTCTTTGTAAATTACGGATATCAGCCCTTTGTCAGATGGGTAAACTGCAAAAATTTTTTCCCAATCTGTTGGTTGCCGATTCACTCTAATGATTGTTTCTTTTGCTGTGCAGAAGCTGTGGAGTTTGATTAGGTCCCATTTGTCTATTTTGGCTTTTGTTGTCAATGCGTTTGGCGTTTTGGTCATGAAGTCCTTGCCTACACCTACGTCCTGAATGGTTTTGCCAAGATTTTCTTCTAGGGTTTTTATGGTGTTAGGTCTTATGTTTAAGTCTTTAATCCATCTGGAGTTAATTTTAGTGTAAGGTGTCAGGAAGGGGTCCAGTTTCTGTTTTCTGCACATGGCTAGCCAGCTTTCCCAACACCATTTATTGAACTGGGAATCCTTTCCCCATTGCTTGTTTTTGTCTGGTTTGTCAAAGATCAGATGGTTGTAGATATGTTGTGTTGCCTCCGAGACCTCTGTTCTGTTCCATTGGTCTATATCTCTGTTTTGGTACCAGTACCATGCTGTTTTGATTACTGTAGCCTTGTAGTATAGTTTGAAGTCTGGTAGTGTGATGCCCCCCGCTTTGTTCTTTTTGCTTAGAATTGACTTGGCTATGCGGGCTCTCTTTTGGTTCCATATGAAGTTTAAGGTGGTTTTTTCCAGTTCTGCAAAGAAGGTCAGTGGTAGCTTGATGGGGATAGCATTGAATCTGTAAATTACTTTGGGCAGTATGGCCATTTTCACGATATTGATTCTTCCTAACCATGAACATGGGATGTTTCTCCATCTGTTTGTGTCCTCTCTTATTTCGTTGAGCAGTGGCTTGTAGTTCTCCTTGAAGAGCTCCTTTACATTCCTTGTTAGTTGTATTCCTAGGTATTTTATTCTCTTTGTGGCAATTGTGAATGGAAGTTTGTTCTTGATTTGGCTCTCTTTAAGTCTGTTACTGGTGTATAGGAATGCATGTGATTTTTGCACATTGATTTTGTATCCTGAGACTTTGCTGAACTTGCTTATCAGTTTCAGGAGGTTTGGGGCTGAGACGATGGGGTCTTCTAGATATACAATCATGTTGTCTGCAAATAGAGACAATTTGACTTCCTCCTTTCCTATTTGAATGCCCTTTATTTCTTTTTCTTGCCTGATTGCTCTGGCTAGAACTTCTAATACTATATTGAATAGCAGTGGTGAGAGCGGGCATCCTTGTCTGGTGCCACATTTCAAGGGGAATGCTTCCAGTTTTTGCCCATTCAGTATGATATTGGCTGTTGGTTTGTCATAAATAGCTTTTATTATTTTGAGATACGTTCCATTGATACCTAGCTTACTGAGTGTTTTTAGCATAAAGGGCTGTTGAATTTTGTCAAAGGCCTTCTCTGCATCAATTGAGATAATCATGTGGTTTTTGTCTTTGGTTCTGTTTATGTGGTGAATTACGTTTATAGACTTGCGTATGTTGAACCAGCCTTGCATCCCCGGGATGAAGCCTACTTGATCATGGTGGATAAGCTTTTTGATGTGCTGTTGCAATCGGCTTGTCAGTATTTTATTGAAGATTTTTGCATCTATGTTCATCATGGATATTGGCCTGAAGTTTTCTTTTCTTGTTGAGTCTCTGCCGGGTTTTGGAATCAGGATGATGTTGGTGTCATAAAATGATTTGGGAAGAATTCCCTCTTTTTGTATTGTTTGGAATAGTTTCAGAAGGACTGGTACCAGCTCCTCTTTGTATGTCTGGTAGAATTCAGCTGTGAACCCATCTGGACCTGGGCTTTTTTTGGGTGGTAAGCTCTTAATTGCTGCCTCAACTTCAGACCTTGTTATGGGTCTGTTCAGGGTTTCAGCTTCTTCCTGGTTTAGGCTTGGCAGGAGGCAAGTGTCCAGGAATTTATCCATTTCTTCCAGGTTTATTAGTTTGTGTGCATAGAGTTGTTTGTAATAATCTCTGATGATGGTTTGAATTTCTGTGGAATCTGTGGTGATATCCCCTTGATCGTTTTTTATTGCATCAATTTGGTTATTCTCTCTTTTCTTTTTTATTAATCTGGCTAGTGGTCTGTCTATTTTGTTGATCTTTTCAAAAAACCAGCTCCTGGATTTATTGATTTTTTGAAGGGTTTTTTGTGTCTCTATCTCCTTCAGTTCTGCTCTGATCTTAGCTATTTCTTGTCTTCTGCTAGACTTTGAGTTTTTTTGATCTTGCTCCTCTAGCTCTTTCAGTTTTGACGATAGGGTGTCAATTTTTGATCTCTCCTTGCTTCTCATGTGGGCACTTATTGCTATATATTTTCCTCTAGATACTGCTTTAAATGTGTACCAGAGATTTTGGTATGTTGTGTCTTCATTCTCGTTGGTTTCGAAGAACATCTTTATTTCTGCCTTCATTTCATTGTTTATCCAGTCAACATTCAAGAGCAAGTTGTTCAGTTTCCATGAAGCTGTGCGGTTCTGAGTTAGTTTTTGAATTCTGAGTTCTAACTTGATTGCACTGTGGTCTGAGAGACTGTTTGTTACGATTTCCATTCTTTTGCATTTGCTGAGGAGTGATTTACTCCCAATTATGTGGTCAATTTTAGAGTAGGTGTGATGTGGTGCTGAGAAGAATGTATATTCTGTGGATTTTGGGTGGAGAGTTCTGTAAATGTCTATTAGGTTTGCTTGGTCCAGGTCTGAGTTCAAGTCCTGGATATCCTTGTTAATTTTCTGTCTGGTTGATCTGTCTAATGTTGACAATGGGGTGTTAAAGTCTCCCACTATTATTGTGTGGGAGTCTAAGTCTCTTTGTAAGTCATTAAGAACTTGCCTTATGTATCTGGGTGCTCCTGTATTGGGTGCGTATATATTTAGGATCGTTAGCTCTTCTTGTTGCATTGATCCTTTTACCATTATGTAATGTCCCTCTTTGTCTCTTATGATCTTTGTTGCTTTAAAGTCTAATTTATCAGAGATGAGAATTGCAACTCCTGCTTTTTTTTGCTCTCCATTTGCTTGGTAAATCTTCCTCCATCCCTTTATTTTGAGCCTTTGTGTATCCTTGCATGTGAGATGGGTTTCCTGGATACAGCACACAGATGGGTTTTGGCTTTTTATCCAATTTGTCAGTCTGTGTCTTTTGATTGGGGCATTTAGTCCATTTACATTTAGGGTTAATATTGTTATGTGTGAATTTGATACTGCCATTTTGGTGCTAGCTGGCTGTTTTGCCCTTTAGTTGAGCTGGTACTTGTTGTTCCTTTATATGTGTAGAGCCTCTTTCAGGAGCTCTTGTAGAGCTGGCCTGGTGGTGACGAAATCTCTGAGTACTTGCATGTTCCCAAAGGATTTTATTTTTCCTTCACTTATGAAGCTTAGTTTGGCTGGATAGGAGATTCTGGGTTGAAAGTTCTTTTCTTTAAGGATGTTGAATATTGGCCCCCATTCTCTTCTGGCTTGTAGGGTTTCTGCTGAGAGATCTGCTGTGAGTCTGATGGGCTTCCCTTTGTGGGTAACCCGACCTTTCTCTCTGGCTGCCCTTAGTATTTTCTCCTTCATTTCGACCCTGGTGAATCTGACGATTATGTGCCTTGGGGTTGCTCTTCTTGACGAATATCTTTGTGGTGTTCTCTGTATTTCCTGGACTTGAATGTTTGCCTGCCTTGCTAGGTTGGGGAAGTTTTCCTGGATAATATCCTGCAGAGTATTTTCCAGCTTGGATTCATTCTCTTCGTCGCATTCGGGTACGCCTATCAAACGTAGATTAGGTCTATTATAATTATTTAAGAAAAGTTGTAGGATTGTTTCCCAACACAAGAGAAATGGTGTTTACCATTGAGGACTGCAAAGAAGACTGTCATGAAGTATTGCTTTTGCCATTCCTTGGCTCTTTAACCTGGGGATACTTAAAAAAATCTTCACAGATTCAGTTGACTCAACAGTAGTTAGAAATGAAACAACTATACCCATGAGGCATTTTACTTACTAAGTGAGGTATAAAGGGTTCTAATATAAACAGAAAAATTATGGATGACTTCAAGAGTCCAGGCTGGTGGGCCAGAAGAATAATGGATGCCTAAGAAAAATAAGAAGCATGTGAAGGAGAAAGTGTTGCTTGAGAACCAGCATAGCAGCCAAAAGAAGAAATAATTATGAGATTTTTTTGAGTGAAAAAATAGTTTTACTTTTCAAATAATTATTTTATTTTAAAAATCAAAAAAATTATTTAAAAATATTTTTAAATAGCTTATTTTCCTTTAAAATAATTTTTAAAACTGTATCTATTTTTGTTCTTCCTCAAATGTTCTTTGTTTTTCCAAGTTAAAATAGGTAAATCAACATTTTATTGTGTCTAAAGTTGTATCTTTATGTTGATAATTACTAGCATTGAATTATTGGATCAAAACCAATTTTATAATCTCTTATAGAGCAAATTAAGTTAGGAATGTAAATCTATAGATTGTGCAAATCTATAGATCATATATATACTATAAATACATAGATAGAAGTGTAAAGGCTGTGATGTGCTGAGTCTAGCTCATGAGGACTCAAAAGAGTATATTGTGAGCATCTTTGCCCATTTTGGCAAGCTTGAACTTAGCCATGGTGGAAGAGTATTTACACTATAGAAATTGGCAAATACTACAAACCAGGACTTCTTCAGAGTTAGTTGTTAAACATTTACCACTGATTGTTATTCAACATTTAGCTTTGCCACCTCTAGCTTTTAGCCCTTAGTGGAGGGGGTGGGGACATTCTTTTGAATACCTCTTTAGAGAATTGATCATCTGTTTCTGAGCCAAACAGGTCTTTATCTCTTTATGCTCCTCCAGGTTGCCACGAGTAATGTAGAAGAAGCCGTCCAGGTGGCAATAGATGTAGGCTACCGCCATATTGACTCAGCTTATTTGTACCTGAATGAAGAAGCCATTGGGCAGGCCATCAGGAAGAAGATTGCCAATGGCACTGTGAAAAGAAAAGATATATTCTATACCACAAAGGTGTTAAGTACCACCGCATCTGTATCTGTGGGACGTCACTCTAGGCTGTAGAGCTCCTTGTCAAATTGCTCTTTATTGGTTTAATCTTCATCTCCTCAGACTTGCACCATAAGAAGTCTGGTTAGGAACGTGGATTCTGTAATCAGACTTTTATATTTGAATTCAGGCTCTGACATTTAATAAATGTGTGACCTTCTCTAGTCTATAGCAAGTGTAAAAATAAGTAAATAAATATGTACAACCTCCGACAAACTACGAAAACACTATCCTTCAGTTTCCCAAGTTGTAAAATTAAGACAATATTATTTATCTCACAGAATTTTTATGAGTGTTACATTTTAAAAATACATGTAAAGCTTGCTGAAAAGTATTTGGTACCTTTCAGATGTTCAAAAATGCTGTTATTATTATCATAATTTTTTAACTCAGAAATGATTTGGCTCTTCCTACTCTACTATAGTCAAGTTTTGACAAAGTGACTTAATCTGTCTTAGCTGAAGTATGAGGTAATGTGATTTAGTCAGAAAGTGCAGGCTTTGGAAACAGATGTACTAGGATCAAATTTTAGTTCTTGAATATTCCATTTGACTTTGTGAAATTTCTTAACCAAAAAACAAAACAAGTTTTTTAGCCTCTCTAAGTCTTCATCCTGGCATCTCAACATATTTTGTGGTCAATAAATGTTTATTTCTCTGAAGATTAAGTTAATGTTTATAAATGTACTTACATATTTCTTTTTAAACTCTTGAGCCATTTTCTTCTTTTAATAATACTCTTCATATTCACTGACATCATATCTGAAACAAATAAAAAAACTTAGGTATTTAAGTCAGGTAGGAAAAGGAACACCAAAGAAATTTTAACGCTAGTGTTCATTGAACTGACTACTGCTAGAAAAACAAAGAACAAATAAACAAAACATTTAAACGTGAGGGGAAGAAGTCCACAGAGATAGAACATAGGCCCATGCAAGCTTGTAATAAAGCGTTTCTTCCAGCCCAGCATGTAACCTGTAACTGCCTTTAGCTGTGCAGTAGCTCAGCACCAGGCTTCTCAGTCTCATCTTTTAATTTTCCTTTCATACAAAAGATTGGTTTCTTTAGTTTTAGTCATTTTGATGATTTTTTCCCCTAGATTGTTGATTCTTAGATTGAGGTAACTGAAGTACCCAAAAAAGATATCCCCTATGGGTCTAACTATCTTTGGGAAACCTAACCATTTAATACAGTCAAACCAGAGCCTGTGGAATCACCATCACTTGGGGTTCCAGTCTGGCAGGCAATTTCCCAGTCTACTCTCCAGATATTGTGATTTATTATGTTAGGAGTAGAATCTAGGAATATGTTTGTACAAGCAAATCAGATTATTCCTTTACATTCTAAAGTTTGAGAATCTGATGAAACTGGTACTTTTTTCTCTACATGTATCATCTTCATTCCATATGAAAATCTGCTATGATGATTAAGAGCTTAGCGTTGACTGGGAATAACTTGTCAGTTCTCTAAGAGCATTTGGCTGCTGATGTTTATTTGCCATTTAATTAAGCTCTCTTGAAGACTTTTGAAGAAGTACTCTCACACAACTTCTCTTTCAACCATTGCAGCTGTGGGGCACCTTTTCCCGCCCAGAATTGGTCCAAAGAGGCCTTGAACTGTCACTGCAGGAACTTCAGCTGAGCTACGTGAATCTTTACCTTATTCATTACCCGGTATCTCTGCAGGTTAGCATAAGTTGTTTTACTTTGGTGATCAACATAAATACTAGTCACTCAGAAACAGTTTCTGAGGATGAGATGATACTTTTAAAATTCTCTCTCATGCTTTTTATTGATTTTTTTTTCTGAAATTCTTCTAAACTCAGTTCACAACACTAGCCCCAGAGTGACAGAAGTTCAGTGGTGTGAACAGCTTTGCCTCAGTCTTGTGGATGTACTGCCAATATTTTCAAGTTCTTATCCCCTGGAGTCTCAAACCCACATGGCTGACAGTGGAATTCAGTTGCAGAACAGGAAGTTCAGTGAGGACAAGACTCAGCTTTGAATGCTGACAAGTCACTGGCAAGAGAGAGCTCTTTGCAAGGGTCCAGGACCAGGGAGCCTGCTGGGTATCACACTACCCTAGAGTCTGCCCAGGATAGGATCCTAAGTGCCTCAGCTTAGCCTTGACACAGACAATATTGATTAAATTTGTAACGCTCAAAAGCATTTCTAGGACGCATATTTCCTACATGTGCTGCCTCTGCCGTTAGCATAATTTTACAAATCTATTCAAGAATAAGGATGGAGGGCTCCATGAGTCTCAAGGTTTATAGGCCCTAAGGCTGGCTGAGACCAGGCAGAGCTTTGTGCAAACTCTCCTTCTTTCCTGTGTTCCAGCCTGGAAAGAAGTTTATCCCAGTGGACTCACAGGGAAAGATCATTTTTGACACAGTGGATCTCTGCAGCACATGGGAGGTGAGTGCAGCTCCAGTGAGCCCATCTCTGCACCTTTGGGGAGACAGAAAAAATAGACAAGGAATTCAGGAAATGGGGCCTGTTCTAATATGCCCAATGTTCAGACTCGGGAGAGCCCTCGATGTCTCTCTGCCTCTGTTTTCACATTTCATTAACTTATTCATCCAGCAAGTATGCATTGAGTGCCTACAGTGTATCAAGTTCTATTCTGCGTACCCAGAGAACATCAGTGAACAGAACCAGGGTGTTGGTCCATGCATGGGGAGGTGCTGTGGTAAGTGGGGGTGAGAAATAAAGCTGTGTGCTGGAGTCGGTTTGGGGCACAGACCTGCAATGATAAACAGAGTGGCAGGGTAGGCGTCTTTGAAAGAGTGACATTAGAGCGAAGACTTGTAGGAGACGCAGGAATTGATTGCTTGGATATCTGGGGAAAGAGTGATACAGGCAGAAAGAGAGACAAGGTAGTGCTTTTCTTTTGTTTTTGTCTTTTTAGATAGAGCTTTGCTCTGGCAACCAGGCAGGAGTACAATGGCAAGTTGTTGGCTCACTACAACCTTTGCCTCCTGGGTTCAAGCGATTCTCCTGCCTCAGCCTCCTGAGTAGCTGGGGTTACAGGCATGCGCCACTATTCCTGGCTAATTTTTGTATTTTTAGTAGATACTGGGTTTCACAACATTGGCCAGGCTGGTTTCAAAGCCCTGACCTCAGGAGATCCTCCTGCCTCAGCCTCCCAAAGTGCTAGGGTTACAGGAGGGAGCCACCGCACTGGGCCACAGCAATGTTTTTAAGAGGGGAGAGATACTAGTGTGTCCAAGAACAGCAAGGGGACATGTGAGACTGGACATTGTGAGTGAGTGGACAGTGCAGGGAATTAGGTCAGAAAGCAGAAGCCGGCTGTCCCACAGGTGGAAAACCTGCCTCTCAGGCCACACCTGCTGCACTTCCTGTTCTCTTGGCACTTGGTACTGGTTTTGCCGTTGCTCCATCAAACTCTTCTAGGTATTCACTAAAGACCATGCTAGTTCCCTTAACTCTGTCCTGGCTACCTACTCGCATTGTTTTCATTCCATCTTCGTGCCCGTTTATTTTACTTATTTACTTTTTGTTTTTCTTTTACTCAGTCCATTCGTGCCTTATTGATCGACATCTGCACTTTGCAAGGCTGTGACTCACACTGTCTCATACTCAATCTTCGCCCACCTCTAGTGTGCAGACATTTATTATTTGCCTCTAGCTGGCTACATAGATTACTCCTCACAACACCTTCCTCTCCAGGCCATGGAGAAGTGTAAGGAGGCAGGATTGGCCAAGTCCATCGGGGTGTCCAACTTCAACCGCAGGCAGCTGGAGATGATCCTCAACAAGCCAGGGCTCAAGTACAAGCCCGTCTGCAACCAGGTGAGCGCCAGCCACCTGCCCCACCAACTGCTTCCTTTGCTCTTTGGCTTCCTCTATTCTCAGTTTGACAAAGCTACTGATGACATGCTTCTCCACATGTATTTTACCTTTCAACATCAGATGCTTCAAGGGAAGAGAACACACTTTGAATTGTTGAAAAGAGTGCATGACGCCATGTCACCTTATCAAAAAATAATCTAAGGTTTTTAAAAAAATATTAAGAGTATAATCTACCAGGTGCTATCGTGGTTGGTTCTAGAAGTTAGAACTAGTGAATGACTGACAACAACTTCTTATTTTTTCTCTTTTTTTCTCTTTTTTTTTTTTTTTTTTTTGAGATGGAGTTTCATTCTTGTTGCCTAGGCTGGAGTGGAATGGCACAATCTCAGCTCACTGCAGTGTCCGCCTCCCAGGTTCAAGCGATTCTCCTGCCTCAGCATCCCATGTAGCTGGGATTACAGGTAGTCGCCACCACGCTTGGCTAATTTTTTATACATTTAGCACAGACAGGGTTTCACCATGTTGGCCAGGCTGGTCTCAAACTCCTGACCTCAGGTGATCCACTCGCCTTGGCCTCCCAAAGTGCTGAGATTACAGCATGAGCCACCATTCCCAGCTGACAACCACTTTTTTTTTTTTTTAACAGAAAAGATCAGCAAATTTGGAAAATAATTTCATATCAATTTGTATGTAAAAGAAAATGGATGATTCATTTTTATGTATGCCAACTCCTTTAAGGGCTGTGTTGTGAGATAACCACTGAGCCTCTCCGTGGTACAAAATCCCTCCCAAACTTATGAAAAGCAACTGTTTGGATTCAGAATAGGCTTTTTAAAAGAGTCCTTTTTCATAAGTTTGAGAGAGATGTGGATAACGGTGAGGTTGCATAACAATTTGAATGCACTGAATGTCCCTAAAGTAGGTACTTCAAAATCATTAAAATGGTAAAATTTAAGCATGAGATTGTCGTAATCAGTTGATTTAAGAAAACATGGTAAAAGTTATGTTATGGATATTTTACCACAATACAAAATATAAAAATGTTATTAAAGTCTAGTCAATAAGATAAGCCCATTTGAATGGGCAACACATAACCTGCAGTATCCTGAAGGATTGTGAGGCAAGTCACATGACTGTAGGAAGATCTGGCAATCCATCGGTGCTGGGGAAGGCTCACACTTCAACCAGGTGGCCGCATCTCCATTTAAACATCTGACATGCAGACTAAGTGAGGATGATCATCAATTTATAATTGGCTGTTAGTAAATCTTCATTTATTTCATTTTTTTTTGAAGAAAAAAACAAATAGGAGTTCTAAAAAGCTTCTTTTGTGACACTTGGGAATTTTACCTCCACTTTGCACATCATCAATTTAGAGAAAGAAAAAAAAAATGGTTTTGAGTTCAGTAGTTCATGAAGACCCAGAGGAGAATCTGGACATTACCTTGAACTCTAAAGAGTGAAAAGAATTTGGCTAAGTGAAGGCTGATTGGCTGGGAGGGACTTTACATGGCATTGAAATCTCGAGCAAAAGTACAACTGGTTAATTATGTGCAGCAAACTGATCATAGTGAGAAATTCATTCAGGTGAGGCTTTACAGGGTCCAGGTGGGTTTTAAGCCCTGAATCTAATGAGCTACGCTTTCTTACTTTTTAGTGTTATGACTAAGCAAACACACATGCAGCAATTCCATAGAAGGTTGATGGGTACTGATGATTAAGCCAATGCAGGGCCTTTCCTGCAGGCTGGGTTGGAGAACACAGTTCAAGTGAGCCTTAAATGAGGTCTCTTGCTTTTCTTTGGATCTGTGTCCATTCCTCTTATCAAATCACTGGAGTCAGGGAACAAACAGTAAAAAAAGCATGCAGCCAAAAGTTCATTTGCCAAACTCTTGGATTCCGGGCTGGTGGATCACAAGCTGAAAAGTCATTACTCATATCCTCAAATTATGTAAACAATTCATCAGATGGAAAACTAGCAATTCGACTCAATAGAGAATTGATGTCACAGGGCAAAATGCTGCCCCCAGCTCTGGAGAGACAGGCTGATAGAGACACCATCAGTGTTCCACAGCTGAGGCTAGTGCCGAGTAGGAAAACCTACACTGTCATTACTGAATTGCTGGGAGCTCCATGTGGACAAGTCTGAAAGAGAATACTCCAGGGACACCCAGTCTTAGGGAGGCCTCCACACTTTTGTAAGTTGTACCTCTACTGTCTACCAAGTTTTTGCAGTGAATACCAGAGACAATGTTTTGGTACAAGCCCAGAGTAGCCATGTTTTCCTAAAAGGGCCTGCCCTCAGCAGAAGATACTTTACTAGAGCCTATGCCTGAAGTTTTACTTGAATCTAACCTAAGGAAAAAGAAATATACTCAATTCCAACTGAAAGAATCAACAAAATCTCCTGGAACTCACAAGTGAATATAAAAAGGTTGGTGAATATAAAAAGGTTGTAGTACATGAAGTTAACATAAAAAAATCAATTGCTTTTCTATATGTCAGCAATGAAAAAGTGGAGTTTAGAGTTAAAAACACTATGCCATTTACATTAACTTCATACAAATAAACATTTCAGTATAAATCTAATGAAGTGGGCTGGGTGCGGTAACTCATGCCTGTAATCCTCGCACTTTGGGAGGCTGAGGTGGGCAGACCCCCTGAGGTCAGGAATTCAAGACCAGCCTGGCCAACAAGGTGAAACTGTGTCTCTACTAAAACTACAAAAATTAGCTGGGTATAGTGGTACGTAACTGTAATCCCAGAAACTTGGGAGGCTAAGGCAGGAGAATCTCTTGAACCCAGGAGGCAGAGGTTGCAGTGAGCCAAGATTATGCCACTGCACTACAGCCTGGGCAACAGAACAAGACTCTGTCTCAAAAAAAACAAAACAAAACAAAATATGGGTAAGATCTATACAATCCCAATAAAATTACCAGTAAGTTATTTTTGTGAATACCAATGAACTCATCTTAAAGTTCACACTGAAAAGTAAGAAACAAAGAATAGCTGACACAATACTGAAGAAGAAAGTCATATAACTAAAACTACCCATCTTTGAGAGATACTATAAAGTATGGTAATCATGACAATATGGTATTGGCGAAAGAATAGACAAATAGATCAATGGAATAGAACAGAGAGAGCCCAGAAATAGACCCACACAGATACAGTCATCTGATCTTGACAAAAGAGCAAAGGGAATTTAGTGGAGAAAATAATCTTTACAAATGGTGCTGGAAAAACTGTACATCCATATTCAAAAATTTTTAAAAAGATTTAGACACAGACTTAACATCCTTCATGAAAATTAACTCAAAATGGATCACAGACCTAAATGTAAAATAGAAAACTATAAAACTCCTAGAAGGTATAAAACAAACTAAATAACCTTGGGTATGGTGATGACTTTTTAGATATATTACCAAGGGCATGATCCATGAAAGAAAGAATGAATAAGCTGGATTTCATTAAAGTTAGAAAATTCTGCTTTGTGAAAGACACTGTCAAGAAAATGAGAATACAAATCCCTGATTGGAGAAAATATTTGCAAAACATATATCTGATATACAATTGATTTCCAAATTACACAAAGAAATCTTAAGACTCAAAAATAAGAAACCATAAACAACCAAATGTAGAAATGAGCAAAAGATCTGAACAGTTTAACACAGATATATAGATGGCAAATAATCCAATAAAGTTGCTCAATATCATATATCACTAGACAATCATAAATTAAAAAGATATTACTGCATACCTCTTAGAATGGGCAAACTTCAAAACACAACACCAACTGCTGCAGAGAATATAGAGAAACTGAAACTCTTCTTAATTGCTGGTGGAAATTATGTAGATTATTTCTTTTTGGTCACTTTGCAAGCGAGGGATCCCCAGCTAGTGATGCCCCACCAGGGCCTCACTCGACCACGCTGGTGAACCACAGCTGTGTGATAGCTTGTACCTGAGTTTGGTGATTCTTGAGCTCTTGTACTACATCCAAGAAGAATGAGGAAATGCTGGACATTGAAGGGAGAGGAGGGGGGAGAATAATTTTATTGAGTGATGAAAATGGCTTTAGCAGAGAGGGGATGCAGGGTTGGTCCCCCTACCCAAAGGCAAGAAAGTCCCCCCATGTGGCTGGGTCTGGAGCCTTTTATGGACTTAGAATGGGGAGTGCATGCAGATTGGTTTGTGAATGTGCAAAAAAGGTTAAAGTGAAGACACCACTCAAAAGTGTGCATGACAGTGCAGAAAACCAATTAGGAAAGGGTAGGTATATGTAAAATAGGTGAAGGGTGGGGATCAACCAGAGGAAGCTGTGACAAACAGGAAGACAAGTGCTTAATCTGGTCCAAGGATTTAACTTGTAGTTTGGATTTCAGGCTATAAACTGTCCTGGGCTTGGAGGTGGGGGTGTCACTGGGGACTCACCACTATCTGCCTAGGCATTTGGCTATATCCTGCCATTCTCAAAAGTACAAAATGATACAGCCACTTTGGAAGACATTTTGGCAGTTTCTTACAAAACTATACATACTCTCACCACATAATCCAGCCGTCAGCAGTCATGCTTTCTGGCATTTACCTAAATGAGCTGAAAACATATCCAGACAAAAGCTTGCTCATAGACACTTATAGCATATATATTCATCATTGCCAAAACTTTGAAGCAACCAAGCTGTCACCATGGTTCATGAGCAAGAACCAAAGATGTCACCATGGTTTTCAGTCTGGGAGACTGAAATTCTCTTTTGGCCTTGTACACAACCTGCCCCCTAAGAGCACTGAGTTAATTATTTAATCAACAGTGCTATGCCCTCCATGGGCTGTAATCCCAAGTGAAGCCCTTGGGAGCTTCATGGGTACAGCTGTGGATGACCATCATGGCTTGGCCAGTGTTGCTGGGACTCTAAAAGATATTTGATACCATCCAATGCAGCACTGCATGTCCCTGGTAAACTTGGTGTTGGTGGTTCTGTAACCTAACTCTCCTGCTTGGCATGCTGCAGGTGGAATGTCACCCTTACCTCAACCAGAGCAAACTCCTGGAGTACTGTAAGTCCAAGGACATTGTCATGACTGGATATGCTGCCTTGGGGTCTGACCCAGGCAAGGAATGGTAATAATCTCGATAAAGTTATTTTGTTGTGGTTTTTGTTTTGCTTTGTTTTTTTGTTTGTTTTTTTAGATGGGGAATCTCACTCTGTCACCCAGGCTGGAGTGCAGTAGCACAATCATGGCTCGTTGCAGGCTTGACCATCCAGGCTCAAGTCAGGATCTTCCCTCCTAGACTTCCTGAGTAGCTGGGATTACAGGCGTGCACCACCATGCTTGGCTAATTGTTTATTTTCATTTTTGTCGAGACAGGGTTTCGCCATATTACTCAGGCTAGTCTTGAACTCCTGGGCTCAAGTGATCCTCCCACCTTGGCCTCCAAACGTGCTGGGATTAGAGGTGGAAGCCACCACTTCTGGCCCATAAAGTTATTTTATTCATAGATACTGTACCTTCTGAAGTAATCTCTCAACTATCTGAAGAAACTAAAAATAGACGGCAGGAATAAATTCACTCGTAAACCTTTTACCTAACCCAGACCTTCATTATAAGAACTCAGTAGAACTGCCATCTTCCATTCATTTGTCCTTCTTTTTTGGATGTAACGAAAGAAGCAGAACAGATATTGAGACAGCCAGAAGATAATGAGAAAGGTTGTAGGAGATTAGCACCCCTGACCAAAATGAGCAGCCCCCAAGTAAAATGGATATTCAGCCTCAGACTTACAGCATCCCTGCCTCTCCTCTAAGGGTGAAAACAGACAACCCAGTTCTCCTGGAGGATCCAGTACTCAATGCCATTGCTGAAAAGCACAGGCGAACTCCAGCCCAGGTTGCCTTGCACTACCAGCTGCAGCGGGGGGTGGTGGTCCTGGCCAAGAGCTTCACTGAGAAGAGAATCAAAGAGAACTTTCAGGTACAGGACAGGGTGGTGGCAGCAGGGAACTGACAGAGCCACATCATTTCCCCATGGCATGTGGGTTTTTGCGAAGCTCTCAAGGTGTATTTGGGCAAAGCTTAATCCCCTTCTACATACTATGCATAAAGCACCATATTTAATTGCTTTGTCCCCCAGTGCTACAAGGGAGAATGGGATGGTTGGAAAGAACACTAAAGACAGGGTTAGAAGCAAGTCCTAATCCTGGGTTTTCCCCTGCAGTATGGTGCTGGGTAAGTCATCCCTTGATTTCTATGGCTGTAAAATAAAGGGATTAGATCATGTGAGGTTCAGGCTTAATTTTTCTAGGATTTCTTTGCTGCAATGACAGCTCCCCAAGAAAAGTCTCTGAGGAAGGATTAACAATGCCAATCTCAACTTTATAAATGGACAAATTCCTATGACATGCCACTGAATGAATCATTTGTCCATGACAACTCACTCATAAATCCTATACAAATTCCTACATGGAGGTAATGAGGTAATCCTACATGGATTTTGTGTGTTTGTGGAGAGGGGAGAAGAGGAACGGCAATTGCCTCAAGGAAATTAAATTGATCTTTTCACATTTCTGACAGATTTTTGACTTCCAGCTCACACCAGAGGACATGAAAACCATAGATGGCCTGAACAAGAATATGAGCTATTTTGAAAATGTAAGTAGCTTGTTTTGTTGTCAACACTAGGGAGCAGGACAGTGGGGCGAATTCAGCTGATTTCAATCCATAGAGGGCAGCGTCTGTTGCTTAGGAAAGCTTTTGGAAAACATTTTTTCTTCCAACTTCAGATCAGAGATATTTTCTTCCAAGGCTCAGGGCTCTGCCCAGACAAGAGTGTAAGCAGAACTCAACATAGACTGAAGCTCCCTGTTGAAGACAGGGCTCTCCTGGTTCCCCACTGCCTCTGTGTGTCCCTCATCACTAGGCTTCCCTCCAATCTATATCCTAAGAATTCCATGGTTTCTATCTCTAACCCAGACCTTTTTCCTGGTCTCTAGTATCCCACTGATTTTCTATTAAATTAAAATTCCCTGGAGATATTCCCTACAGATAGTTCTACTTATTCTTACAGTTTAAACTTAATACACTTAAAATTGAAGTCTTAGAAGTTCTCTCTCTATACTCATCATGGTAATACTACAAAGACCACTATTATGGCACAAACCTCACCCCCTATGTCTAAATAACCACCTCGTCCTGTTGATTCTATATTTCAACATTTCTCATGCTTCCCTAATATTCATCACAAAGCCCACCCTCTCTCATTCAGGTTTTGAACCTGAATTGGCTCTCTTGCAGGGCTGGCCACAGGGCTGGATCTTCAGCCGTGGTTTCCAAACAATGTTCAGAACTTTGCTCAGGTCTGGGGGTTCTCAGTAGTAAAGAGTAAGCAGGTTCCAAAAATTAAGAAGAAAAAAGGGAAGAGGCTGAGTATCAAGCAAATGGAGGTGATAATGAAAATCCAGTGGCAGGAAAAAATTTTTTTCTAAAGATAGGCTTTTAATGACCCTTCAAACTTTTAGATTCTATGATTCTCAGAAGACTGTAGAGACAAATCCGGAAGTTATTTTTTTCTCTTTGGTGGCATTTAGTACATATATGTATGTAAACATCTCACAACACAGGAAGACCAACCAATCCAGTAGCTCTTGGGCTGACTCCCATCCTCTGCTGTGCAGTAAGTCTGGCCACGAGCACCTTAGCTCCCTTGAAGTTATCATAGTCTTTGTCACTGTTAGTTCAGTCACGACAGAAGCCTAAAATTCCTGGTTCGCAAATAGCTCTGTGTACACCACCTTAACACTTTTTCACTGCCCTTCCTGAAAGTCCTACTGAACCATTTTATCCTTGATGTCTTCTGTAAATGTTCCTTTCATCTTTTCCCAATAGCTGAAACCCTATTCCTCCTAGTAGCACTGATTCCCATCAGCTCTCTCCAGTTGGGGTTGTTATCCTTCCCAAGACCTTAGCAGTGCTAAGTCTGACTATTGAGTTGGAATCATCTTCCGAAAAGCATTCAGCTCTGCGCTTTGTGTCATCAGACTAACCCACCACTACCACTGTCCTTTGTAGTCATCAGGGCTGCGTTCCCAGGTCTTCTGTCATCCACCGAAGATTTTAGTTCCTAGTTTTCACTCCATCCAGCAGTAGAACTGTCATAATTTCTTACAATTTCAACACTACACAGATAATCCTTGTAATAGTCTGATCTTTGAGTTTTGTGACTTTCCTCTTTCAATGTGTTTATCCTTCAGTCTCACTCAGCCTGTCAACATAGTAGTCTCATCCTAGACATTGTCATTACAAGTTACTATAACCATGACTGGATGTCAGTTTTAAATTCTTACACTGCAGTCATCACCTCCTACATTTCCAGCTCCTTTTCTACATGATGAACTTCAGTAATCCTTTGATTACTGCATGACCTACAATTCACTGACCCTACCACCTTTTCACTGTAACTTGACCCTCTAATGTACCCTCTGTCCTTTTTTGCCTGCTTAAATTTCGGGGTCAGTCAATATATAAACATCCTTGCAGATATCCTCAACCCTTGCCATTTCTTCTAATGTTATTTGCTGGTTTCTTCTCATTAACTTGACTGCTCAGTTTTGGAGTGACTTGGAGCTCAACCTAGACCTCTTCTCTTTTCTCTACCTACTTTTACATCATTGTTGATTTCATCTATTCTCATGCTTTAAATATCATCTAAATATAGACTCGCCAAATTATATTCAGCCCAGGTCAGAGCTCTGGACTGAATTTATATATCTATACACCTCTACCTGGATATCTATTATGTATCTCCAAATTATCATGTCTGTAATTGGGCTGATAATGGTATCTGCAATTTCTTCCCCAATACACACAAACACACACACACACACACACACACACACACACACACCCCCCCATGCTCATACCAAAGTTTTTCTGATACAGTAACTGGCTCCTGGTGGCCTCCCTTTCCTGTACTTCAGCTCCAGGCATAGTAGCCACAGTGAACAGGTTAAAAAGAGTGTAAACCAGAAGTCCTCAATATTTGGGAGCCTGCCATCTCACTCAGAATTAAGAGCAAATTCATTACAAAGACCTAAAGGGCCAATAGGTACTCCCTTTCTTAACTTTGTATGTCCCTGTCCTACCATTCTCTCGATTCTTGACTCCAGTGCAGCCCCAGTGACCTCCTTGCTGTTCCTGACTGTATTAGTCTTTTTCACACTGCTGATAAAGATATACCCAACACTGGGAAATTTACAAAAGAAATAGTGGTTTAATGGACTTACAGTTCCAAGAGGCTGGGGAGGCCTCACAATCATGGCAGAAGGCAAAGAGGAGCAGGTCATGTCTTACGTGGATGGCAGCAAGCAAAAAGAGAGTCTGTGCAGAGAAACTCCTGTTGTTAAAACCATCAGATCTCATGAGACTCATTCGCTATCACAAGAACAGTGCAGGAAAGACCCACCCCCATAATTCACTCACCTCCCACTGGGTTCATTCCACAACATGTGGGAATTGAGGGAGTTAGAATTCAAGATCAGATTTGGGTGGGGACACAGCCAAACCATAACAGTGGCATATGTCAGGCCTGTCTTAGGGCCTTTCCACTAGCCATTCTCTCTGCCTAGAAAGCTCTTCCCCATATAGCAGAATGGCTCACTCCTTTACATCCTTCAGGTATTCACTCATACATCACTCAATGATGGCTCCTCTGTCACTTACCTAAAAATTCAACTCATTTTTGTCCTTGACACATATCCCTAACTTACATACCATATATTTTACCAGTTTATTTAGCTTATTTTCTCTTTATCACATTAGAGTGTTAGATTCTAAGGGCAGGGTTTTTGTTTTGTTTTTGTTCTTTTGTTCTTAAACTACTCTCTCCCTGGGTACTTAATAAATATTGGTTAAATAAATAACATAATCAAATGATAAAGAGGGCAAGAATAACAGAGAGTGAAGATACATGCAGGAACACCTGACAATAAATATCAGTAATATTAATCAACAATAAGTATTCAATGACTTGGCATTTTCTATGTCAAAAATTATTACTTTGTGTATAGAAAGAGTTTTTATCACCCATGCTAAAATAGAAGCACCTGGTTGAAATGACTTCATCTTCTAAACACTGTGTCTGTGTCTAGGTAGAATATAGAATTCTCTCTGAAGAAAAGCCATAGATAAATTGTTTCTGAATGCCTGACATATATTGAACAGTGATAATTTTATCACCTTCCTCATTATCACCTTAAAATGTTTATTAACTTTACATATTAAATCACACTGAGCATTGTTTTAAAAGACATAGAATTTATTTCTGCCCTCCTGGAGGTTCAAAATATAAAAACAAATAATTTATCTTCTCAAGCTGCAGAATAACATATTGAAAAAATGGAATGCCTCGGTATATTTGTGAATGTGTGCCCATGTGTGTAGGTATATTTATTTTCCACAAAGTATTCACGACAGCATGATGCACTAGTATGTTATTATCATAAAACTAGTTGGGTTTGTACCTAACTCACAAAGAAAACTGTGTTAATTTTTAGGCTCATACCAGTTTAACAGAAATCTGTCTTCATCGAACCCAGAAACAATGATTTGACTGAGACTCTCCCTTTACCTTTTAGCTTTTCTCATCACCTGGATTAACAATTTCTTGATGAATATTAAGAAAATTATCTGTGGTTGTTCCAGAGCTTATTGATTTTGATTGATGAATAGAGAACATTTCAAGGATGAGAAGTTTCTAGTATTCCCCATTGATTAGCCTGCTCAGTCACAAGTTGGCCTAAGACCCTGGATCAGAAAATAAAAGTATCTAAGCCCAGTTTTCTCTTGATTCCCACCCCCACAACTGCCAAAATAAAGATGTATTTGAAACAATCTAACTGCTGCAGCTTTGGCATTTGCTTTTGTTTCTTTCCCATCTCACTGAGGTTAAGATGCTGACATCCCTGGAAGGGCTGATGGAAGGGGTGATCATAAGGGATGTGACTCTCTCAAAAAATGCTAATAACTTGGTATACCTTCAAATTTGCAAAATCTACTTTTTTACTTGTTTGTCCTTCTTGAGCATTTTTTTCTTTTCTGTGTATTATCCACACTATACAATTTTGTTAGATACTCTAAATGAATTTAACACTTAATACATAATACCCAAAATGTCCTGATTTTAATTTTAAAAGTTACTTATCATACCAAGAACAAGGATGGTCTCAAGTTGAATAAATAAAGATAAACAATAGATGGCTACAATCAGATGACCCAGATGTTATCATTATCCAATCAAGTTTTTAAAACAACCATTGTAAAAATGTTCAACAAACAATTGTAAACACACTTGCAACAAATGAAAAAACAGAAAGTTTCAGCCAAAAATTAGAAAGTGTTAGAAAATAAATAGAAGATAAATGAACAACCAAATTTGGAAATATTAAAACTGAAAGTTACAATATACAAAATTAAAATTGTAGTCAATAGGATCAATAACATAAGAAATAGAGGAGATAATTATTGATCTGGAAGTTAAGGCAATATAAATCATCCAATAGGAGCAACAGATAGAAAACAGACAGAAGAAGAAAAGGAACAGAGCTTCCAGGACCTGTGGAACTACAACAAAAGACTAAACATTCCTGCCATCAAAGTCCTGAAAGGAAAGGAAGCAAAGAATGGGCTGGAAAAGTACTTATAGATGCAGTGGCTACTTTAATTGCTGAAAGCTTTTCAAATTTAGAAATACTGACAAACCTACAGAGTCAAGAAGATAAGTGATCTTCAAATAATATAAACCAAAAGAAATCAAATCAAGACACATCATAAATATATGAAAACTAAAAGAAAAGCTTGTGAAAAAGTAAGAGAAAAATAACACCTAACTTATAGAATAAAAAGAATTAAAATAATTGTGAATTTTTAAATAAAAAAACCATGGAAGCAAGTGACAATAATTTTCAAATGCTGAAAAAAAAATAATTTTCAATCCAAACTCTTGTTCAGCAAAAATATCTTTCAAAATAAAAGAGATATTGTCAAGACATTTGCAGGTGAAGGAAAATAAAATTTTTTTTTTCAGAAGACCTAACCTAAAATAATACCTAACATAAGTTCTCAAAACAGAAAGAAAATAGAAAAAACAAATAGAATCTTGTAACATCAGGAAGAAAAAAGTACAAATATGCAAGTAAAAATATAGGTAAATGCAGTAGATTGTTCCTGCCCTCTTGAGTTTTCTAGATGATGTTTGTCAATTGAAACAAAAACTAAATGTCTTATGTGGTTTTAAATGGATGTGTTAGAAATATTTAATGAAAGTATATTATTAATGGGGGAGGGTAAAGGAACTTGAAAGGAGGTAAGGATTTTGTACTTCTTTCAAAGTGGTAAGATAATGACAACATTACACAGTGATAATTGTGTATATGTACTGTAGTACTAATAGCAACCAATGCTATGCAAAGAGATACACCAAAACATGCTATGGATTAATCAAATTGCATCCAACAGGATCTAACTGGGATTTACAGAACATTCTACTTGACAATACCACAAAACAGATTCTTTTCAAGTCCCCAAAGAGCATAATCAAGGCAGACCATATTCCGGCCATAAAACAAACCACAACATCTAGAAAATAACCAAAATCGTAAAAGCCTGAACAAATAGACATTAATTGAAATTATGCAGAGTATGTCATTCAAGGAAAAATGAATCAAATTAGAAACCAAAAACAGAATAGTAACATGAAAGTCACCAAACTCTTGGAAATTAAACAACACACTTCTAAATAATCCATGGGTAAAATAGGAAGTCTTGAGGGAAATAAAAAAGTACATTGAACTGAATGAAAATAAAAATGCAGCATATCAAATTGTGTAGAACACAGCCAAAGTAGTGCTAAGAGGAGATTTTATAGAAACGGGGAAGTTCTTAAATCGACGATCTAAGCTCTTATCTCAAGAACCTAGAAAAGGTAGAGCAAAATAGCCCAAAGCAAACAGAACTATTGAAATAATAAATACGGGAACTGAAACCAATGAATTGGAGAGGAAAAACAGAGAGAAAAAAATGAAGCAAAGAATTGGTTGTTTGAAAAGATAAATTCAGGCAAGCTTCTAGCAAGACTGACATAAAAAAAGAGAGAAAAAACACAAACTACCAACATAAGCAATGAAACAGGGAATTATGCTAAAGATCCTGTAGAAATAAACAGGATGGTAAGGGAGCACTACAAACAACTCTACACACCTAAATTTCACGAGTTAGATAATGGACAAATTCCCTGAAAAATACACAAGATACCATAACTCACCCAACAAAATAGATCATTTGAATAGCTCTGTTACTATTTGGAAACTATTATTGAGTGTTCTTCACATAGGGCAATGTAGGTATTTGCAGAAGTGCGAGAAGAATCTGTTTTGTTTTTTTCAACAGGACGCAATTGAAGGAACTGGTTATTTTACCAAGGTTTTGACTGAAATGATGTGCTTTCCTTTAAGGAATCAAACCTGACTTATAGAACCAGTAGTAGCTTCTTTGGAAAACTGGCCTCATGCCTTGTCTACACAGTCCCTTTACACAGTTTCTGACCCAACAGTAAATAAAGAATGTCACTTTCTGACAGGCCCAGGAGCTTCAAGTTGTCTTAGGACCTTGGAGGAGACGAATGTACCCAAATCATGCAGGTATTTGATAGTACACACCCATGGCTGGGCTTGAGGCTTTAAAAAGTCTTGTTTGAGATTCCTTATGGAACAAAGTTTCATCAAAGCCAATTTAAAAAGAAGCCTAAGGGGCAAAAAATTATTCTTGCTATGTGTTATACAAATAATCAGGCCAAGTATAATAAGGCTAAAGCCTATTTTGCAAACAAACGAGTCCTATCATGATTTGTTTGTAATAAAAATGAGGACTGTAGAGAGACAAATGTTTCAAAAACTGTGGTACACCTGTTACTAGAGTCTAGTCTCCACAGTTGGTTTTCTGTATTTCTATCTGCAATTTTGACTGATGCTGCTTATTCCTTGAACCAACCAGTGATCTCTGGCTGCAGCTCAAAAGAACCTAGAGAGATAGGGCTTCAAGGTCCAAATGATCCTCAGTGAGCATATCATCTTCTAAATGCTCAGGAGTCACCCTTCTATAAAAGACTGCTAGACTGCCGATTAGTGGAACACAAAAAAGCCAAAATCCTGTTCATGTTTCTCTTGAACCTGACCGGGTAGCAATTTCACCAACCCACAGAGTCACTCTGCCCTGACACATATCAAGAGGCCAAAACCCACAGAACGACCTTCACCACCCCTCTGTCAGTAGGAAGCAGTTACAGAGCCTGACCTTTGTCCATTTTCCCCAAGCGTCGGGTCTTGGACTCTTGACGGGGAATATTAGAGTAGGTAGTCAGACTTGAGCAGGGCATGAGAGGGCCCTTCCCAGGACCATCAGGACCACCTGATGGTCAAGCAGTTGTTAACTTGTCCCGCTAAAATAATAATTGGTTGCAGCTGGTGCCAGAGAAAGGCTGTCTCCCAATAGATACAAACACCTGAAATCGGTAAAGACAGGAGTTGCATTGCGTTAATGCCCATCAATACTGGATTGCAGTCCTTTTTTAATCTTTTATTTTAGGTTCAGTGTACATGTTCAGGTTTGTAAATTGCATGTCATGGGGAGTTGAAGTATAGATTATTTTGTCACCCAGGTACCAATCACTTGAAGAGTCCCTTCCTCATTGCTTGTTTTTATTAATTGTCAGAAATAAGATGATTGTACCTGTGCAGCATTACTTCTGAGCTCTCTGTTCTGTTCTATTGATCCATATGTCTGTTTTTATACAAGTCTCATGCTGTTTTGGTTATTGTAGCCTTTCAATATAGTTTGAAGTTTGGTAATGTAATGCCTCCACCTTTGCTCTGCCTTGCCTATTAGTCTTTTTTGGTTCCATGTAAACCTTAACATAGCTTTTTTTTTCTAGTTCTGTGAAGAATGTCATTGATAGTTTGATGGGAATAGCATTAAATCTGTGAACTGCTTTGGGCAGTATGGCCATTTTAACAATATTAATTCTTCTTATCCATGAGCATGGAAAGTTTTTCCATTTGTTTGTGTCATCTCTGATTTCCTCTGAGCAGTGTTTTGTAATTCTCATGGTAGAGATATTTAGCTGTATTCTTGGATATAATGCGCATTTATCATTCCAACAATCCTAGGGCACACACACACATACACACAGGTACACACATATACACACACACATGCACACACATGCATACACACACACATGAGCACATACACATATACACACAGGCACACACAGGTACACATACATGCAGGCACACACACAGTGCACACATATACATACACACACAGTCACACGCACACATTACAGCATCCATTTTTGGCCAATAATAAATGAGTCCATAACACCCAGCCTTCCCAGTTTCCACCCAGCTGGGGCTTTCAGATCATTCATGATTCTTTTTATCCTTCATTCCCAGGTAGTCTTTTCAGCATTTATGCCACAGGCATTTACTGAGTGCCCCTGTGTGCCTGTCTTCTCAGCCCAGAAGTGACTAAGGTCAATGCACTGGTGTCTCACGAAGGGAGTTATGCAAGGGGGTGCCCTGCTCAGCATCCGAACTTGTATGGGAGGTGTGAGATGGAGGAACACTGCAACCAGACCCAGGACATAACACAGTGAGAGCAGCCAGACACAGAGGCAGCAGCCCGAGAGTCACTCCCACACATGACCCACTGGTTTCACTCATGGTACAGTCCATTTCACCAAGCTGGCGTTGCCTGTGGGTATAGTCAGGACCATAGCAAGTGCTTGCTGTCCCTCAAATTTCAAACATAGAGTGAATTCATGATGCCATCTGAGAGACTGTGCTTGCAAGCTTCCCAGAAAACAACCCTTGCAGGAAAAGAAACGCACAGTGCACGCTGGACCTGCTTCTTCTCCCTGCAACACCTCAAGTGAAAACACAGGTCAGAGTGTTGAGGAGGTTTATTTCACTTCATACCTTTCTTACTGTATGAATTTTAAGCACACATGTATTAATTTTGCTTCTGTTAGCAAGTAAACAGAACAGCACATTCTGTTCTGTTCTCTTTAGCTCTGTAGTTAATCACAGGAATAAAAGGTGGACACACTGTAACCGAGAGAGTTAGAAGGAATGTGCCACACACTGAGTTCCAAATTAAGAGTCCTTTTTAGTTAACCAGCGACTGACAGACATCTAACACTCAAAATTCTCTTGGCCCCGAGGAAGGGGCTTATCTTTTAAACCTTGATGTAGGTAGAGGAGGGGGAGCCTAGCAGAAAAGCAGGCTAGAGGAAGGGGCTTTGGGCACAGGTGTCACCAACAAGGGGGGTGGTCAGGCTCCTTCTACACAATGATCAAAGGGAAATTTTTTTTCTTACAATAGCAGGGGGCGGGGTGTGCCAAGTAGGATGTGGTTACAAGTGTTAGGAGCAGTACTCTTCAACACTTCTAAGTGCAGCGTGACCCAGTTATGCACTCAGAGGGGCTGCGGTAGGGAGGGGGAGGCCAGGTTGGAGTTTACAGCTAAGATGGAGTCAGTGATGCTAGCCCAGGGTAGGTTATTACATTCCCCACTTGTGTTTTTGGGGAGTCAAAGCATTGACTCCTCAGTTACAAGGGGGTTATAGTGGCTCCTGAGATACATGAGTTTGACAGAATTTCTGCGCTGTCTTATAAAAGTAAGGAGCCAGTTTAACAGGCAGAGTTCAAAGATTAAGCCTAACAGGAGAAGAAGAGGTCCCACTAGCCCAGTTACTCAGGTGGTTTACCATGGGCTCCAGTTAAACATGCTTTGGAACCATGAGGCATTCTCATTCTCATTGGCGTCTATTTAACTTGTCCTGGACCTTTTGGAGGATGTCTTTTATGACACCAGAGTTTTTAGTATAAAAACAACAGTTTTCTCCCAGTGCTGCACATAAACCTCCTTGGGATAGGAATACTAGATCTAAGCACGGCGTTTTTGGAGAGCAACTTCAGCTAGGGATTTTACCTGAGTACGTAACATATTTATGGCAGACTGGAGATTTTCCAAATCAGCATCTACTTGTTGAGACAGGGATGTTAGTCCAGTCCCGGACGAGGGCAGCAGTGCCGACAGCTGCTGACCCAGCTACGCTAAGGCCAGCCAGAAGGGGCACAAGGGGTGGGACAGCCCGGGAATGCAGCTCAGGGAGTGTAATGAGAAGTTGTCCTTCTGGTCCGCTGTACACATAGACCTCAGGAAGCACATGAACTGACACGCACAGAAGAGGTTCTGGTTCAGTCCCACTGATGCAGTGGGGGAGGCCTGAGGAACAGGCCAGCCAGGTATTGTTAGGTGCCTGGTAGGAGACTGGGGGATTCCGGGAAGTAAGTAGAGACTGGTTACAAGTAGCCTGAAAAGGAGAATCACACAGTTTATACCTGTTGCTGATTAAGTCGGAGGTTTCCTGCAACATCCCCCGGTGTAAGGGAACAGGGGAGTGTTGGCAAGCAAGAGGCCTGATGTTGAAAGGGGCCCCAACTCCCGGTCCAATATAGTATGGGGATTCAGCCTTTGGACACAGTCAACAATCTCTGACCAGTTTAGTCTTTAGTTCCCATGTCATACTGTAGTATCAATGAGTTAAGCTAAGGTAATGAACAGTTATGGTAAGAGGATTGCAAGTTAAAATAAGTAGCCAAGGTTACACCAGTCCAGAGGGCAGGAAAATTCATTAACTTGCTGGCAGCTAGTATTGGGGTGTTTTTCTGGACAGAGGTAAAAGTTAAGTGACTAAAGTTTCTTTTCTGCTTTTGTCCCACATCCAACTTGGGCCGCTGTGTGTCTAAAACCAGCGGCAAGGTCAGTGGCACCTGCTCCGATAGCACTAGCTGGGCGAGGGCCGGGTTCCGGGAACAGAGCACACAAATCACCCGCAAGAGAAACCTTGTTAGGGCACCGGCCCTCCAGGTGGTATTTGCATACACAGTCCTGTGGGGGAAGAGGACATAGCTGGAGGGAACAGGTAAAAGACATAAACAAGAAGGATGAGGGTGTGCTCCCCGGATGAGTGGCTGGATGATGTCTTTAACCTGTTGGGGAGACTGCAGGTACTGTAACAAGTTAGCTTGGGCTGTTTCTGCCAGATGGGTATTCTTTAGCTTAGACAAGATAGGGGGAGCCCTTCCATACATGGTTTTAAAAGGAGAGAACCCCACCTTGTAAGGGGTACATCTGACTCTAAGAAGAGCTAAAGGAAGGAGGTTTGTCCAACCCTCACCGTTCTCTAAGACAAACTTTGTAAGAGTACTTTTTAAGGTTTGATTCGTGCGTTCTACCTGCCAAGAGCTCTGAGGCCAATAGGCACAATGGAGTTTCCATTGAATGTAATGCCTTACTGACTGACTGAGCTGTGGACGAGGTGAAGGCTGGCCCAGTATTAGATCCTAGAGCAAACTGCAGCCCATGTGAAGGGATGATTTCATCGAGTAAGAATTTAACTACCATAGAGGCAGTTTCGTTTCTGGTGGCAAATGCCTCAGTCCATCCAGAAAAAGTGTCCACCATCACCAGGAGACACTTACATGCCGCCCAGTGTGGCTTTATTTCTGTGAAGTCCATTTCCCATCTGTCTCCTGGGGTACATCCTCGAAGGCGGCAGCCCAGTTCAGGTTTTGGGCCTTGTGTGGCATTTACCTGCGCACATTCCCTGCATCGGGAGGCTGCAAGGTTAGTCAAGTCTTGAAGGTGGGGAATTTTAAACCAGCTTCTTGAAGGCTGGGCCAGCTTCATTCCCCCTAGATGAGTGGAAGAACGGAGACCACGACCAAGGCCTCTCCCAGGGTCTGGGGCAGGAAAATTCTTGAATCTGAGAGAACCCACCATCTGTCCCGATTTTTACTGGCCTGAAGGTCCAATGCTTGCTTGTCTTCTGAAGAGTAGACTGGGCAATCAGGCAAATCGGGCTGTGGGAATATAGAGTGGGTAACAGAGTTAAAGGGGTGACGGGAAGTTGGGCTGCCTCTCGGGCAGCGGAGTCTGCCCTTTGGTTCCCTCAGGCAATGGCTGTATTTTCCTTTCAATGTCCTTGCAGTGGATTACAGCCACCTGCAGGGGAGCCACACGGCCTGGAGTAAGGCCAGGATTTCTTCCTTTTTTTTGATAGTTTTTCTAGCCGAAGTGAGAGGCCCACACTCCTGGTAAATAGCTCCATGAACGTGCACAGTTGCAAAGGCACACCTGCTGTCAGTGTAAATGTTGATGCGTTTCTTCTTACCCCGTCGGAGGGCATAAGTGAGAGCAATTAACTCAGCCTTTTGCGCCCAAGTTTGGGCCGGTAGGGCCTGGGCCCACACACTGTCCGTTTCCGTGGTGACGGCCACCCCAGCCTTTCGCACCTCCTGTTGGAGTAAGCTGCTGCCATCCGTGAATACGGTGGCATCGGCCTTCTCCAGGGGGCATCCTGGAGGTCCAGGCGGCCAGCCTCCGCAGTCTCCAACAGTTCCTGGCGATCAAGGCCTGCTGCCGTCAGGTCTGGATCAGGTAGAAGAGTGGCTGGATTTAAACACTTTCTAGGGGAGAAAGTCAGGCAAGGCTGAGCCAAGAGCAGACTCTGGTACTGTAATGTGCCAGCGTTTGACATCCGTTTTTCAGAGGCACTGCGCAGCAATGTCTCGATGGCGTGAGGAGCCGTGAGGGGTAAGTTTTGGCCCAGGCTTAGTTTATTAGCTCCTGGACCAGACTTGTGGTTGCTGTTACAGCTCACAGACAACTTAGAATGCTTGTGTTTAACTTTTTAGAGTGCGGCCACTAAGATTTTTGCCTGTCCTTTTGAAGCTTTGTCAGCTGCCTTTTTAGCAGCCAGAGCAGCCTGTTTTTGTTTCTCACGGTCTCGATTGTCAAAAACCTTCTGAGCTATTTCTAGGGGCTGGGTGATATTCATTCCAGCAAATCCCTCAAGCTTTGTAATTTTCTCTGAATATCAGGGGCTGCCTGGGCCACAAACGCCAAAATAATAACACAGCTATTTTTGGGAGCCGCTGGATCAGGTGGGGCGTAAATTCGATAGACCTCTTGGAGGCTTTCCAAAAACGCTCCAGGTGACTCACTGGGCCCCTGGACAACTTCAGTTGTCTTAGACAGAGTCATGGTTTTCAAGCAGCGCCTTTAATATCCGTAAGGAGATATGGGTGGAAACTGTCCAAAGCTCTACTCTCCTACAAGGTATTTTGGTCCCAGTCAGGCTGAGTAGAAGGAAAAATTTTCTCAGATGCCACTTGATATCAGTTAGGTAACATTAATAGTAATAACTCTAAATACAATCCACCCACAAATGACCAGTCTCTGAACCCTCAGCCATGAGCTTGTCATCTCACTTTCCTGCAAGAAAAGATCTCCGTGACCTGGAGAGAGGCACGTTAGAGACAGTGAAATGGACACTCAGTTGAGCCTTTCCAAGCACCACTGTCTACCAGGTGCAGGGCTCCTGCCTGCTGACAGCCCTGCGAGGACAGCTGATCTAGGACCCTGCACAACCTCAGAGTCCACCTGCATCTTCAGAAGCATAATTGCCAAATCCCAGCACCAGCATGAAGTGTCCACCATTCAGCCTCACGGAATGGCTATGCTTCAGATCCGTCATCATCCTCAGCTAATCCGACTGTGTCTTTCCTCCTTTTCTTCTGTGACAGCCCAGTACAAGGCAAGGCTCCCGCGTTCTTCATTTCACCAACTTCAATATAGGAAGAGCTCATATAACAACTGCCAGAGATTCCGAATGAAGCTGGAATTGATCAATTGCCTTTTGTTCGCTTCCTTCCTCTCTGCAGGTACATCTTACAGGAACACAGGGAAATGGTTACTGATAGAGGAGTCTGAATGTTCTTCTGGGCATTGTCCACTCTTGACTCTTGAAGTATGAAATATACCAAACTGTCTTTGATAAGGATATAAGATATACTTTACAAGATACAAAATTATCACTAGATTGGTCATTTCTAGACATTGATTCTACAAGGAGAACTTAGTTAAGTCTCATACTATCCATTTTTACCACAAATGCCATCACAAACAGCTTATTGAGAATTCCTGGAACAAAGCTAGATGCCTGGTCCCAGGCACACATGTAATGAGATTCCTCAGAAACACCAACTTCTACCTTCAGCATAATGAAATTCTCCTGTATCAAGGCCTCATTTCATTTTGTGTCTATCTCTGCCTTGATTCCTTGAATCTTGTTGGCACAAAAAAACCTTGCCTGAGATCTTGAATACATCTCTGTGTTCTTGCCTTTTTTCCGGCCGTTTCCTCTTTCCAGGACAGCCTGCTTGACTTGCACCTTGCTTCCAGCAGGTTTCTGATCTCTTACTTACCCTAAATGCACCCAATCCAGCCTCACATGTTTTATGAGTGTTTTTACGACCGCCTGGATAATGCTGGATACCCTTTTCCTGTGTGCCCTTCATATTTATTGCTTCTACTATGCCGGCCAAACAACGACATTAGCAAAAGTTCATTCTCAAGTGATAAGGAACTTCTGCTGGATAAAATCACTAGGTGGTGTATTGTTATCGTCATGCTGTGCTTCGCCCAACCTGTATTTGGCCAAACATTGATAAGATGAATTGCCTTGTTCGAGACGCTCACATGGGAAGGAACTGAGTGTGGCTTATGGCCAGCAGCCAGCGAGAAACTGAGGCCTTCACTTCAGTAGCCCAGAAGGAACTGGATTCTGCCAGGCACCCATGACTTTGGAAGCAGCTCATTCTCCACTGAGCCTTCAGGGAGACCCCACTTTTGGATTATGCCTTCATTGCAGTCCACTGAGTTTCCAAACAGAGGCACTAGCTGAGCTCTGCCTGGCTACACAAAAATCACTACAACTTTCACAGCTGGAAGCCAACACAAGGGGAGACTACAAATGGCAATTATAATACAGCACGGCACCCAAGGAGACAGGACACGCACAATCCTGGAAGATGGGGTGGAAAGAGCGTCAGAAAAGGTTTTGCAATGGCCTCTGAGTGGACTATTGGAGAATTACATGAGCTGTATTTTGTTCAGTAATAAATATCCCATAGGCACTTGAAACAAGCAAATCTAAGCCCTCATGGAGCTCACTTTCCAGGAGGAAGAAACAGACAAGAAACTAATAAATACATAGAATGAAGGTCATGTCATGTGATGAAAAGTACCGTGAACACGGAAAAAGCAGGGACAAGGATAGAGTACGAAAGAAGTTCAGGGAGAAGTAAAATTACAAATAGCATAAGCAGGGAATCCTCACTGAGGCAAGGACATTTGTGGAAAGACCCGAAGCAGCGAGGAAGCCAGCCTTGCTGGCAGCTGGGGGAAGAGGCTTCAGGCAGAGGGATCTAAAGGGCACAGTCCCTGCAGCGAGGGCAGGCCAGGCGTGTTCTGGAAACAGCAGGGTTAGGAAAGAGGTCAGAAAGGAAAGGAGGGCCATGTTTAGGCAGAGCCCTGTGGGCCACTGCAAGGATTCGGCTTTTACTCTGGGACGGACGAGGAGACACCGGATGATACTGAGCTGCTGTGTAGAGAGTAGAATGTAGGTCGATGAGAGGTGAAGACAGAAAACTAGTTAGGAGGCTATTTCAATAACCAAGGCAAGGAATGGCATGACTTGGAACAAGATAGTTGTAGAACGGGTGATGAGAAATGGTCAGATTCTGGATATATTTTTAAGGTAGACATGGCAGGGCTTGATCACAGATTTTACGTTGGGGAGGAGAGTGTTATTTAAAGAAAGCAAAAACGACTTGGCGAATGTTAGTATTTGTGACTGGAAGATGGAGTTTTTGTCTTATTGAGACTGGGGAAGTTGACATGGGGCAGGAAGGCAGGGAGGTTAAGGGTGTCCTGCCTGGGACATCCAGAACCTGCGATGCCTATTGGGCCCTGGAGTGGTGATGTTGAGTGGACATTTGATATTCCAGTCCGAGTTTCTGGGAAAAGAATCGAGCTGCAGTTATTAATGTGGGATCGTAAGCCTATTGACAATATTAAAACCGTGAGACTGCCTGGGGTTATCAGGAGAGTCTGATTTCCTAAGACAGAGAAGAATCTAAGGACGGTGGGATACTCCAATAATTAAAAGTGATGAAAATGAGGAGCAGTGAGTAAAGAAGTCAGACACGGAAAAGAGGGAGGAAGACAGAGAGTGTGAAGTCATAGAAACCAACTTAAGAATGCCATTTTAGAATAACGGGCCAGGTGCGGCGGCTCACGCTTATCATCCCACTAGTTTGGGAGGCCAGTGTGAGGGGTTATCTGAGGTCAGAAGTCTGAGACCAGCCTGGTCAACATGGTGAAACCCTGTCTCTACTAAAAATATAAAAATTAGTTGGGTGTGGTGGTGTGCACCTGTAATCCCAGCTACTCCGTTGGCTGAGGCCTGAGCATCATTTGAACCTGGAAGTGGAGGTTGCAGGGAGCTGAGATCGCACCACTGATCTCCAGCTCCAGCTCAGGTGATGAAGTGATGCGCTGTCTCCAAAGAAAAAAGAAAGAATGATAAAGGACCAATGGTGATAGATTGACAGATGCTGCTGATAGATTAAGCAAGTCAAGGACTGAGAACTGAGGGTTCATTTCTTATTTTAGCAATGTGGCAGTCACCGGTGACGTAATTCAGAACATTTTTAGCAGGACAATGAGGACAAAAAGAAAGAGCCTCAGTGGCACAAGTTTAAGAGATGCTGGGAATTGGAGGCCATAAATATAAACAATTCTTTCAAAGAATTAAACTGGGAAGCTATAGGGAAATGGGGCAGGGACTGCAGAGTGTTTTTATCAATGTGAGGAATTTACGTGATGACAGAGTAGGTCAAGGAGATGAACGATTAGAGCTTGGGTTGTGATCTCTATGAGGATATTGAAAACATTGGGAAGGATGGCAGAGGTAGTCCTGTGCAATATGCTTCAAGCACAGGAAAAATCTCCAAGGAATCAGGGCAAGCAATCACGACATAGAAGGCGGGTGATTGCCACAGGAGATGGAGTTTGAAAAACGGGTATTTCTAGGGAGCAGGAGGGGAGACAGGATAGATGAGGCAGAGAGGAGAAAGGAGGATGCCTGCCTTCCCTCCATGCTTCCTGGGAGGACAGTGGGAGAGGACCCATGCCTCCCCTTAGGAGCACTGCAGGGGAAACAGAATCCTCATGGAAACTAGAAGCTTGGATTAGAAAAGCAGGGGAGGGAACAGAAGCTGATAATATTAACAGCAAGTGAGGATTTTGAATTTTGAAATGAGGAGTTATGGGTTCTGGAAAGACCATCAGACGGGTTTTGGAATTAAGGGATATGTGAGAAACAGAAAACTGGAGGTAAGAGCTCTAGGGAATGAGAGCTCAGTGGGATGAGCATGGAGTTCTGGGCTCTTTCGATGACTGAAATAAAAGCGGTAAAGAGCCTAGGGAAATTACCCCTGGGGACATCACGCTGTCTTGTGTGGTGCTGAGGCTGTGAGCTTTGAAGTGGGCAGCTGAGGGCTTGGAGGCTTCTGAGAAACATTCAGACCTCTGGGACCCTCTCTTGAATTCTGACCATGGAGAAGAGGTATCTGAAGAGCCATGGACTCCCCGAGACAGTGAAACTCCCTCTATTAAAGTCAGAGTCATCTGGAGAATGGACAGCATGGAGGACTTAGTCATCTCTTTCAATAAAGTGTAACGTTTCTTCTAAGCGTAACAGACATCATCATGCAAAGTAGGTTTAGGGTGAAAGCCATGTCGCCTCTATTTCTCTCTTGCAACTTGGAGATATCAGAATGAAAACTGACAGAAAGAAGCCCGAAGTCAGGAGCTCACGCTCTGTCTTCTTCCACACGGATGCAAGGGCTCCTGATGAATGATCAAATGCTAGAAGTGGGTGAACGGTACCACATTATTCTAATGCCTGGGACAGATGCCAAGCTGGGCGGTGATGCTGTGCAGAAACGCCTCAGGGAAGAGACAAGGGAGAGAAAGAGGAGCATTTCTGCCTTTGATTCCACACCTGGGAAGGAAGCAGAGTCAGGATTAGTGAGCGATACTCAGGATTATTCTTAGTTGGACGCCTTTACGTAAGTTCTGAGAAACTACCGGCTGGTGCCAAGGCTGAAAGACGTGCTGAGATCAATGGCCTCCCCTTGAATAAAGGATTTTATCATTAATCACAAAACACGTTGCTTGTGTACACTGAGTGTTTCCCAGAGAGTCTCATGATCTGGTGGTTACTGTGGAGGAACATTTTCACTCATTTGAAGGAAAGCTTTCCATCAATGCAAGCATCGTGACAACGTTGATTGATGGCCATTGAACCCAGCTGTCCCTCAGAGTGAGTGTGTTCACTGGAGGAGGTGACACCATCCTCATCAAATTAATGAAAGTAAACGTCTAGGTTTTTAGCAAACACATAAGCTCTGAAAGAAAGTATAACTAAGCATTAACCAGCTTGCCCTGTCGCCCACTTCCATGTAACTGCTTACCCTTTGGAGTCATGTAGCCCATATCACAAGGTCCTAACTTCGTAGGTAACGTCTGAAACAGTAGGAAATCTCACGTTTTCCACTTGAGCTATTTTCTGCGCCCTGCATTCTAACAGTTCACAGGTGCCATCTAATCGACAACCCCTCTGAGGAACTGCCTCAGCCTCGCAATGCAGTGACCGTAGTGTTGGGCTTTCACACCGCACACCCTGGCCAGCCAGCACCCTGCCCTGCTCCTCAGCCCCTGCCTGCCAAAATTCCCATGAGAACCCCAGTCTAAAGCTCCTGGGGGCAATGAATTCGAAGTTGCCTCCTACCTTCTATAATTGGCATTCAATGAT